TCCTCACCGGCAACCACCCGACCCAGCCGCTGAGCCCTCAGGAGGACCGAGCTGCAGCGGCCCAACCAGCAGTAGTTGATATGGAGCTTTGCTCAGTTCCTTCACCTGCTTTGTAAGTTTTTACTTATATTCATATTTTGAAGCTAAACTTTTCGTAACTGGTCATAAAATAACGTATTTTTAACACTATTTATGTTTTACAGACACGTTGAAGTTGGAGGGAGTGGAACCTCCACACCTAATCGGACTCCAACGTCCCGAAAGCGAAATGCGTAAGTTTTTCCTTTATTGCTTTATTAAATATTGATAGTATTTGACTTTGAACTGTTAACTGTTCGAATATAACTATTACGATAGAAATCAAAAAACAACATTATTTTTTCAGATCGGACCACAATGACATGGGGGCTAAACGGCGTCTGTGAGTGCCTATTAATAAATATATATTCTATGTGCAGAAGTGTCTACTTAATATTTTGATTCTTAATAATTTATTTTCTTCTTTTAGAATTACTTCCTCGTCATCTTCGTCGCGTCCTCTAAGGGATATTGAAATATCCAACGCCCTTAATTATGGTAAGGGAAAATAGTTTTGCTTTAGCTGCTAATAAAAATACAAATAAAACCCGTACTGTGTTCTATAAACATCAGCTCTCATGTTACTGATACTGTTACATAAGTAGTAACTTAATACAGTCAATTATTTTTAGAATAATTGACTGTATTAAGTTACTACTTATGTAACAGATTATTTTAAAAAAAACGTAAATTATTACAGTCGGCCAATGTGGTTATTTTATCTTATATTTTACAGGCAGCGACGAGGACTCCGAAGAAGATGGCGAAGAAGAAATTGGACTCCAATCCACCATAGTCCCCAGGGTGGTACAAATGTTCGCGGCATCGGAGGATGAGGGTGAAGGTGGGGAAGTAGACGCATTTATTTCTTTTTCCTGGCCTCCGACATCCAATGATCACCCACCTGTCCCTAACTCTTCCGGTCCCATTCCTTCCACATCCCATGTTCCTGATTATTCTGTTCCGCCTTCCTTACCTACCCATACTCCCTCGTCCCCATCCTGTCCCATGTCGGAGCCAGGAAATAAATTTGATTTTAAATGGAGGGGGTTCCCGCAACCTCAAACTCCTCCTGAGCTGAGGAGGGAACCGTTCTCCCAGATAAACTGTGGGCCCACGGTTCCATATGCGAGCCCATATGACGCATTTACTGCCATATGGGATCGCGATATAATGGAACACATTGCCATGGAGACGAATCGATATGCACAACAGCTTGCAACGGTCATGCTGGTGGACGGTTCGCTCTGTCCGAGCAGCCGCATCACCAAATGGAAAGACACCGACGTAAGTGAATTGCACGTGTATTTCGCTATAATCCTCGCTACCGGGATTGTGGTGAAATCACGTCTCGAGGAGTACTGGAACAGCACGCTGGACATTTTCAGTACCCCCGGGTTCACTGCGGCGATGACGTATGACCGCTTCATGCTGTTGAGCAAATGTCTCCACTTTCAGGATAATGACGGTTGCGATCCTGAACTGATGACACGGGCTCAGGCCAAGTTGTTTAAGGTGCAGCCAATTTTGGATCACCTTAACAACAAATTCCAACAATTATATGTTTTGGGTCAAAACGTGTCTGTGGATGAAAGTCTGACCATGTGGAAGGGTTGGTTAGATATTAACCAATTCATCCGCAACAAAGCAGCTACAGTAGGAATTAAAACATACGAGGTGTGTGAGTCCCAGACTGGTTACTTGTGACGCTTTGAAGTCCACGCAGGCCATGATACCTCCTCAGACCCACAAGAGGACAGTCCAGTTTCTGGGAAAGTGCCAGCTCTTGTGCTCAGACTTTTAAATGGTCTTGAGCATAAGGGCCACACGATTTGGATGGATAATTTCTACAATTCTCCCGCGCTTGCACGAGAATTGAAAGTTCGGGGGTTTGACTGCGTGGGGACCTTACGAACGAATCGTCAGTTTGTTCCCATTGAGCTGACGAATCTTACGAAAAAAGACATGGCGATAGGTCAGGTGAACGGTTGAACTTCGGGGGATGTGGACCTCATCGTATACCGGGACAAAAACCGTGTGGCATTTGTCTCGACATACCATGGGCTAGCAACCGCGATGTGCGGCGATACACACAAGCCCACCGTCATACCAGACTATAATGTCTGTATGGGGGGGGGGTTGATCGCAAAGACCAGATGCTCGCCATGTACCCCATTGAAAGAAGGCGGAACAAAATCTGGTACAAAAAGTTTTTCAGGAAGCTCTTGAATGCTAGTGTTCTAAATGCCTACATACTCCACAAGGCACACCGCTCAATTTCTCACCGAAATTTTCGCCAAACTTTGGTGAGGGAATTGTTGGCAGCACACACACCACCAGCACCTACCCGTGCACTGCCGAACACCTGGCATTTTCCGGGGCAATACGATCTGCTCCCGGGAACAACACGGAACGAGCACCAGAGGCGTAGTTGTTCAGTTTGCAAAAAGCGAACATCAAGCTTTTGCAAAGCCTGCAACGTGCCCCTGTGTGTGTTTGGTTGCTTTGAGTCATATCACACTTCACAGTAAACTACACAAAAACACTGTCTTACACACAAGGTATTTAGGCACTAGTATTGAAGGTCTATCTGAAAAACACTTGTACTTGAGCACACAGTCCACCTGATGGTAAGTGGATACATCGTCACCCCTGAGGACTAAGATGGAATGCCTCCTTTTCAGTAAAAAGGGTATGCCGCTATTTTAATGGGAAGGTTAAAGTAGGTAGGTGTTACCATCCAAATCGTAATGGGAAATTTGGAAAACAAAAAGCTGCACATTTATATACTATAGTTTGTATATGTATGTATGTATGTGCGTATGTATGTATGTGCGTATGTATGTATGTAGTGCCTCAGATAGAGGGTTATGTTTTTGTGATAAATTTGTTTCTAACGAGTTATAATATGTATGTTTGTCTTTTGAAATTTTGGCTCATCATAAAATTGTTGGAACCTAGGTCCGTGTCATTCATTCAAATTGCAAACGTCATTATACTGATAAGGGATCGTACGAAAATTAGGGACGCAATGAAGGGGGGGGGGTTGCTCAACCTAATTTTCAGTACGTTTCCTTGGCATTTTGTAACATATGTATATATATGTCCATGATCGGTAGCCATGTACATATATATACATATATTATGTGTATATTGTACATATTTGTACATATCGAACAATGGTAAATTATGACCAACCATGCTTGGGTATCAACATGCTGCCTAAACCTTCACCTTCAACCTACAAGCCGCCGGTTCATTTTACCTCTTGCTGTGATTCGTGAACAAAGCATGATTTAAAAATTATGTCATATTAAGTAGTATCCCAAGTGATTGTCATTATTAGACCCGTTATGTTTACTATAATGTTTCAAAATAATGAGGGTTACAAAAATCACCTAGTCATTATCTTGTTGAAGACAAGTCGTATCCACACTTTGCTAGCATGTATGAGGCTAAAATGTTTAGATATTTACTACTTTCATGAGCTTGATGTTTGAAATATTTCTTAGAAACAACTTGTTTTTTTTGTTTAATTGATTACTAAATTTAATGTATATCTTGAAACAATAATTTCTTTTCCATTTGTAAGTAGATATTATCCAAAATAGACATGTTTTTAGAGGTACTAATTTTGGTGTCAAATTACATACCATCTTTGTTCCACTCATACTCAAATTTATATTGAATGTAACATGATTCTTTTATTTATATTTGTAGCTTATAAGCTTAAGTTGCTGCAAACAAAAGGTCTTTGTCCCATTCGCTCAGGGTCATTTTAGATAACAAGAAATGTGAGACCCTTTTTTGTTTACTTTAAGTGGAAGTATTTTTTGTGTCAACTTTGTAAACATGTGTTGTGTGAAAAAAATGTATAGGACCTTGTTAATTTTGGTTTGTATTGTAAACTTAGATATGTAATGTGTTAATTAAAATTAGTTTCAGTTTAATTATTGTTTTATTTTATACAAATTATCAAGAAATACAATAAAATTTTCTGTACCCCATATTAAGTAGTAATGTTTCTATGGCAAATAACTACCAATATGCTAAATATTTAAAGATATATACAAAATAGGTAATTAAAACCAATATTTTAATTGTAAGCGTACAGCATTCCTTTAAAAAAATCGAGGAAATCCAACTTTAAAAAAAACATATGCTTATAATATCCCTGTCTGTGCGCTTGCCGACGGTCGGCATCACAGATACGCAAAATGGCGGAAACATTAGTCACACTGTTTAGAGGATAATAATGATTAGAAATCAATTAAAAATAAAGAAGAAAAATTGTCACAACTATGTTTTGCCGCCTGAGGTTTTAAAAAAAATTAAAAAAAAAACTGTCAAACCTTTAAAACAAATCGTAACACCATCTACATCATCATCACCCATTGACGAAGAGGTTATAGAATTACCAGATGACATTGCAGACCTACAAATTGATTATTAACTTATATTTTTTTTTCAAATAATTCAATTAGTTACTAAATTTTAATTGTAGATACGTACAAACATTATTGTTAGTTTTAATAAATACTTAATTAGATCCGGTTTTTAAATAAACCCACTTATCCCTAACGCTGTATATTATTTAATTATCAATATAGAATATTAAAGTAGGCAAAGGATATTGTGATATTAGCCACTTCTAGCTACTTTTCGATTACGATTTTTTTTAAAAGCTGGCCACTTTTTTATTCTATTTAGCCACAAACTAGATTGTCCAAACGGCAACACTAATGGTAGCTTGCTACATATATATTTATCTATGTTCTATGGTGGTGATGATAATACAAGTACAACTTACAATTAAATTTTATCTCAGTTTTCGAAATATGTAATTCTAATTGTTAATAATACCAGATATCCACTACTACAAGTAAAATAGGTTTAACAGTAAGAAGTCATTATTTTACACGATGCCGCGGATAATGATAAAAGGCGGCGTTTGGCGCAACACTGAGGTTTGTCTATCCTGCCTACTTAATCGTTTTATTTTAACAGTTGCTTTCATTTGAAGAAATTACTTTTACGAATAACAATCTAATGTAATACGTTATATCCTCAGGATGAAATCCTTAAAGCGGCTGTTATGAAATATGGGAAAAATCAATGGTCCCGAATAGCTTCCCTGTTGCATAGAAAATCAGCCAAACAATGCAAGGCACGTTGGTACGAGTGGCTGGATCCCAGCATCAAAAAGACGGAATGGTCACGGGAGGAAGACGAAAAGCTGTTACATTTGGCGAAGCTCATGCCTACCCAGTGGAGGACTATAGCACCTATTATTGGGCGTACAGCTGCACAATGCTTAGAACGCTACGAATATTTACTGTAAGTTTGGTAAACATATCATAAATAATAGAAAGACGCATGGTTAAAAATGCCCCCATAGGTACTTTATTGGGTTGCACATATATTAATTAAGCAGAATGCTTTAAGAAACAGCTCACAATAGCTATGATTGCATTTAAATTCGGCAAAAGTTATTTTCGGGGTATCTTTGTGGTATTAGGTTGGAATTAGGGTGACCAAGGCTGCACTCAATAACTACTTCTACATTAGTAGTTTTGGCAAAAATTGTAAGGTACGTTGGGGTAATACCGGACGGATTTTCGAATAGTTGGAAGAGTCTGCCAAAAACTTTAATTTCTCGACATTCGTATACGTCAGATTTATAGAACATGGAGCAAACTGTTAATCGTTTAACGTAGTTTGGCTCTGAAAATCTTTTGCTTGTGTAAACTCAACGGTTTCTGCTTTAAAGGTGTGCGAAAACTAGACATACTTTTTTATATGCATAATGAAAAATTGGCCATTAAGGGGTAAGACCGGACTTAAATTTAAAACCACTTCTACTGCTTAGAGAAAAAAGTTTATAAAAGAGATATGTCCTATCTTTAACGCTCAAAAACATATTTCAATATGATCTATAAATTACTAGAAACATAAATGTTCCAAACGATTTTCTCTTTTTTTGTTTCTTGCCATCCGATCTTATCCCTGATATAAAGAAATTGTAATTTTATGTTTCTCAAACTTTGTTATGATTTAAGATGGAATTACTCAATATAAGAGAAAGATCGGATGCATTTGATTTTATATGGGAAAAAAAAATAACAGTAAGGACTGGCGAAATGCCCTGGGATAATGCAGGAGTTATTATAAATTATTTTTTAAATAATTATTATAAATTACATTTTGATTTGTAATAGAGGATAGATATAGATGTCTATGGGCCGCAGCAATCACTTAACATCAGGTGGACTGTATGCTCCTTTGTCACCCTTATCCTATAAAAAAAAATATTTTAATGTGTACTTAAAAGTAATAAAACCATCGTATTGTTTTATTACTTTTAAATATACAGACTTGCTAACGAGACTGAGTCCCATAGTCACTTGAGTAATCAAATCGAAAAAATATACACGAACAATGAAAGTTTAACAACCACTGCCATATTTGTAACAGGCAAAGATCGGATAATATTCATCCGATCTTCACTCACGAGGGGAAACATCGGATCTCGGCCTACAGCGATCTTACCCCTGCATGGACCAGCTTTATTTAGCTATAACTTTATAAAAATTAGTATCCACACAAAATAATAACAAAAGAAGCCATATTCTCGCTAAAAATAGTAAATAAAAGTGATAGGGAAAGATCGGATGGACAAAAATAATACAAAAATTACATTGTTTTATAAAATGCCACTCAGCACAGGTCCCACTTGCCGGAGTGACTGGCGCGAACTGAGGGTCGGGGCAGGATGAAATGGCGTCGTGTAGCATATTGTTAGCTTTTCAAAATATAGCATAATTCGCCGAGAATTTGAATACTACGGTCTTGCCCCATCACCGATCTTACCCCAACGTACCTTATAACCCGGACATCTTTATATGTGGTAGAGCCATGCTGCAGCTATAGTAGTAGTATAGTTGTAGCACGAAAGGGTCGGCTCGACAGGGGAAGGACCACACTCACATAATACCAGCATAAAATATCAGCTTAATGCTGCTGTGTTCGTATGGTGAGTGTAGAGAACTGGAGACCCATTTTACTGGAAAAGAGGCATTCCATCTTAGCCCTCACGGGTAACGATGCATTTACATTTTGATTCTTTATTGAGGATAAATGTAGATGTCTATGGTTCACAGCAACCACTTATCATCAGGTGGACTGTGTGCTCGTTTGTCACCCTATCCTATAAAAAAAAACTTAGCTCGGCACCTTAGCTGATGTTGTAATATGTGCAAAAAAGTATTTATAAGAAAATAATATATGTAATTTTTTTACATTTATGTTAAGTGCTTTTTCAAAGTATTTCTTTTACATTATAGAATTACTGTCTAATGAAAAACTTTAGTGAAATCTATCCAAAAGGAGTAAATATCATTCCTAATTATTTGGACATAAAAATTTCAGTGAAGACATTAACAATTTATCAACATATAGTGCAAACTCAACAAACACAGTTCACAAATTTTATAATAATAATAATAACAAATAATAGTAAAAAACAAGAACTCCAAAAATGGTTAAGATGTGTTATGCATCAGTAACAAAAATGCTGTCAGTAACATTTCTATATTTATGGTTATTATTGTTATGAAAAATTGGAGCATGAAATACTTATGATAATGAAAGCAATATGATCACTTTTTTACATAATAATTATGTGAAAAAAACTGCTGAACATTTTTTGATTTTCATGTTTTGTTAAAGAATACTAGAAAAGTTATTAATACTCTTGTGTTGTCGAATGGCTTATTTAAACTCGTGTCTTTCTGGGTTAGCAATCTGTATCCTTAACCAAAATTAGGGTACAATTGCATTAACTAAACTTTAAGTATTAAGTCTATGCTAACCAGTGGAAATGCTATAACTTGCTCTTGCTGCATTTCTTGAAAGTTGTGTATATACTTCTACATTAGTAAGCTGGATTTGTGAGCACAGTCGTTGTACTAATGCTGCTCCATATCACCAGTCTGATTTGGTTTAACATTTCAGATAAATATTTCACCTTCATTTGGTTACCAAAGTCCCATAGATTTGATTAAAAACAAATATTGGAAATAGAAAATAAATGATTAAATAACTATAATAATTATCTTTATTTAGCCATATCAACACATTTAGATGCTTTGTTTATGTTCAAAATGTTGGTGTCGTATTAAAAAGAAGGGAGCAACATTATGCATTGAAGCAGTAAATAAGTAAATGCTGTGGCCCATAGATCTACATCTATCATCTAATTAATGAAGAAAATATAATATAATGCTGATGTGTTGTCACTCCTGAAGATTAAAATGGAATTTTTTAGAAGCGTACTTATTACGCTTAAAAAATTGGTCTGTAGTCATCTATTGAAGACAACACATTTTACATGATTCGTCCGTTTAATATGTATTGCTAAACAGACACATATATTCATAGGTATTTGTATGTACTAGATATATATGTATGTATTCGTCATATATAGTTTATTTTTAGTAAAATGTATGTATTACATATGTAGATATCATTTTGTTATTTTATTCTATATTGCCACACCTACGTCAAACTCTCACCACTCCAAGGGTTGACTGGTAGAGAATACCTCAAGGCATTAAGTCCACCCTTTGTATTCTTTTGTTTTAAGGAATGTAATAAAGAATAAATAATAATAATAATGGAGTGGCTCATTATTTATTACCAGTAAAAAGGGTCTCTGGTTCTCTACATATAACTAATGTGCTGCTACTATTCTGTTGCTTTATTGTACCAGCAATAACTAGTTAAAGTAATGGTAGTAAAGTGTTTATAGGTATCACAACTGGGCTATCTTACAAACAGTAGTTTTTGTGATATGTAAGTAAACACCAAGGTCTAGTACTGATTATGGTTCTTATCCTAGGTCAAGCCTTAGTTAATGTTTTTCTCAAGAAATTTTTTATAACAGACTGGACAGAGTCAGAATGTTGGTGGTGTTTTAAAATTCATTATGTTATCACCTTATATGGGTGTTCTGAGAGGCCACTACTACTACTAGATAATGGCCAGAATAACTTGTGGTCCAATAGATATTGATTGACTGCAATGTTGGTCTGCTGCTGCTGCTGCTAGTCATGTGGTTCAATTCCTGGGTTGAACCACAATGAGTTATTGGGTATTTCCTTCAAGAAATTATCAGTAGCATTTTGAAGTCAGGAAGTCGGAGGTGTTTCACCCCTGTGACTCGGAAACCACATAAAGCTGTTGTTTCTGCAATCTGATCTCTCTCTTGTCATGTTGGATGGATGTGCCATTGGACTATGAGAGAGAGGGAATAGAGAGTTCACTAATGCTTGTACACACAGCCTTGCATATAAACCTGTTCTGTGCAGATGGTTAGTCTCTATTAGGAACAGGGACTTGACATGCTACTCAAAATAACATTACGCATAGTTCCAATAATGATAATTTGTACCGTTCCACTAGGATCGTAACAAAGTAATTTCCTTGGCTATAACAATACTAACAAATGAAACGAAATCTACAACTATATAATAACAATATTAAAAATATATCATTATTATTATAATAATATAAAATAATTATTAATATAACAATATAATATCGTTATTAATCTCTCAAAGATTATGATTTATGACGCATACTTTACATATTTTTATATAATAAGCAATGCATACTCTCTCTAACGAACATAATGGTGATGCTTGAATACGGTGGCGGTGGCTTGTACGGGGTTATTAATGGAGTGGTGCAGTGTACAAGTGAATTTGTAACATTTCAGCTGTAACAATATTGTAAGCGGATACAGGCATAATGTTACCAATACCTATAACGTAACGAAAAATATTGTTCTGCAAAAATGATATTCTCAAACATTATTTTGTATAACGTTATTGATATGAAACGAAATTCTTTTCGTTTTAAAGTCCCTGATTAAGACTGAGTATTTTCATTTATTATTATTATAAGTACTTATATGAAACACAAACTCTTCATCAGTGGTTGAAATTTTATGTAATGTTTGGACTTGTCTTTTAGAGACCAAGCTCAGAAGAAAGAGGAAGGAGAGGATATGGGTGATGATCCACGTAAATTGAAGCCTGGTGAAATCGATCCTAATCCTGAAACAAAACCAGCAAGGCCTGATCCCAAGGATATGGATGAGGATGGTAACTACAACATATTCTTAATATTATTAAAATGATCATTGCTACATGGAAACATTATCTTAAATTTTCACACATGATTATATTGGATTGGATATTGGATTTCAACTTTCATGTTGGCTATAAAATAAATTTATGAATAGTATTGGAATTAAAAAATATATGGATTACCTACTTATACATACAATATAAATATACATATTACAATACAGTGTAGTAGCTTTGTCAGATTATCCACCATATGTGAGAATGAATTCCATGTTGTCCCATGGGTGTCATAAGAGGCGAGGGATGGAAGGGAAACTGAAACAGGAAATAAACAAGCAGCATCTTCCTGCTAACAACTTAAAATAATAAACTGCAACTGCCGACATGCCTGCTAAATGTGGACTATGGCAAAATCCTCTATATATAGGCTGTAATGGATGTCAGTCTTTCTGAAATGTAATACAAATTCTATTAGGAAATAGTGTGGCATTTTTACACACACATGAATATTTGGACAAACATGTAACCATATATTATGGGTAGATCAACAGATTCATCCTTAGCTTGTAAACAAATTAACACCAAAAAAATGGTATATCTGTTATCTGTTCTCAGTCATTAAAACTTACTTGCATTTAGTTTACTCTTTTTTTTTACTGTTTTATGATGCCACTGCGTGGTAATCATCATAATTATACTATTTCTCTGGTAAGACATTTAGGCAATAATACTTTTGTTACAGAATTGGAAATGCTTTCGGAAGCACGTGCTCGCTTAGCTAATACCCAGGGTAAGAAGGCGAAGAGAAAGGCAAGGGAAAAGCAATTAGAAGAGGCAAGAAGGCTTGCTGCATTACAGAAGAGGAGGGAGCTTAGTGCCGCTGGTATTGCGGTGCCAATGAGGTTTGCTAAATTGCTATTTAAATATGTCGATAAGAGGTTTAAGAATTACTTTGTTGTGCCTAAACAATGTCCATGAGAAATTAATATAATCAATAACGAATGTATTCTTTTTGTATGTTCATTGAGAATAATTTTATTGTAATAGGAATAATATTATACTAATATAACAAAATATTCAATTTAATAGAGTATAATACAAACAAATAATTTTTTATGTAATTAATCCAGTCTAATTACTGTAATAATCTTGATATTTTGAACAATGTTCATGTTCTATAAATTAATAAAAATTATTGTCATTTGAGTGGAGACCAAGATTAAAATATTTATATTAATATAAACATAGGCGTAAGAAAAAGCGTGGTGTAGACTACAATGCTGAAATCCCGTTTGAAAAGAAACCAGCTGCTGGATTTTACGATACTTCAACTGAAGTGGTAGACCCGATGGCGCCGGATTTCTCCCGCCTCCGTCAGCAACATCTTGATGGGGAATTGCATTCAGAAAAGGAAGAGGTACTTTTTTCTTTGCATATTATTAAAAGTAAAATTTTAAGAAGATAACAAATTTTAATGACTTATTTTTTAGTTATGACCCATAACTGTCCGACTCAAGAAAAACATGCCAGCTTATTCATTTCTAGAAAAGCGTAGTCGTCGATGGACTTAAAAAAGCTGAAAGTACTGACTTTATTTGCACATATGATTTTTTTTTATTTAGTGTAGTCTCAAAGTGAATAACTATTTTATTCATTTTTAAGATTACATAAATAGGTATTGTTAATTATAGTTAATTTTATAAGTATGGAATGTTATGTTGTTTTTCTTTATTTGGAAAGTTAATCTAATAAGCTACAAACACCTTTGCGCGGTTTTACATTTACCTATTTACATACTGGCACGGCGACGGCAACGGCACGGTTGCCGGGGAAGCAAAAATATATAAAATATATGAAATGTTTTTCCACTTACCGGCGCCGGCGACGGCACGGCGATGACTCCCACCGGTGCCGTCGCCGGTGTCGTGACGGCAAAACTGCATGTGTATTGTGTACGTATTGCAACAGTGTGCGCTGGCCGAATTAGAAGGGACACGTTGAGATTGAGACTCAAAATTGACTTGTAAAATGACGAAATGTCTCTGCGTTCATGCGGAAGTAGTTGATATATTTTTTAGAGTCCATTTCCAACTTTTAAAATAGGGTATAATATGTTTCTTCTAAGTATTTTATTTTTAAAATTATATGAATTCAAAATTTGACTTCTCCGCGTTGATCTTAAATGTAAAAGATATAACAAACAAATACGACGACTTGACGAGACCATTTTTACCTGCTGTAGAACTGAAGTATTTATTTATTTTTATTTATTTATTTGCTTTTTAGTATGTATGTTACATGAGATATTGTTAAATACTATGTATTACATACTAAGTCCCTAATGGAGACATGCAAATTTATTTATTCTTAGAATTTATAAAATTATACAAAATTAACACATCAAAATCAATCATTATTGTTCACGCCAAACGCTAATTTCAAGAATCGACGCCAGGGGGCGCGCAGCGCGGTGAGTTCCTATCGGTTGACGTTCGCGCGAGACCGGATTGGTTGCTTGAGGGGCGGGTCGGAAGTGATTGAATGCAGTGCGTGACAGTAGCTTGAAAGGAGCGGTGCGGTAAATTAGAGTATTTTGGTGACCGCTGCATATATTTCGCGCGACCAGTTTTTTTTTTGGTTTTATGGTCTAGATTTTAGTATTTGTGCGCGTTGAATTCGCTATTGAATTTGTGGTTTCGTGAAGACCGCCTCGGATTAGTTTGTCTAAGTTGTAACTTGTCACTAGCACGGCGTGAGGTCGTCCCGTATAACCTCTTTTAGTGTCGGTTTGTTAGAAAATTTATGCAACGATGAGGAGTTTGTGGAGTCTAGAAAAATAGACGCCAGGCCGATTAATTGTTTGGAAGTTAATGTTTAATTGTACCGTCGCGTTAAGTGCCTTTTGTGTGTTGTCTATGTAGTTTTTTTTGCATGCCAGCTAGGCTGACTTTGAATCTTAATGCGGGCGTAGTATTTAATATCGTACGAAGGAATTTAGTTTTTCGGTTGTAACGCTGAACTTTGTGACTCGAGAAGAGACCGCGTTCTTGTTCGTGGTTATAATCTTGTTGCTACGTGAGACGGAAGTGACCTTTGATCCACCGTTACGTTTGTTACGTTTTTGATTACGATTAACGGGAATTTAGTTGAGTTTGAAGTTAATTAAATGTACAATAAAGTTGATAAACTGAAATAGTGAAGTGACGTCAGACTTGAGGTCGGATAAAGTGAACTACCACCTTTGGAGAGAACTACCACCTACACCTACCTATGGCCTGCCCGAGCCTTGGGGCGGTCTTAGCTTCGGATCCAGGTACGTACTATTTATTTACCTAGCCTTATCACTATCGTGTGGGTCAACTCTCCATAGGCATTTGAGCCCCATCCTCTGCTGCCCGTCGATTGGGCTACTGATGGGCCCTAGTCCAGTCTACCTTCGTTGGGGCAGCTCAGGGCGTGTACAATTATTAAATCGTTAAATTAGCGATGACAAACAATCTATCAATTATCCTAAATATATCAAAAGTAAAATTATAAAAAATATATATAATTAACAAATAAAGAAAAATAAATTAAACAATATTATATACCATGTCATTTTATAACAAAAAATGTCAATCGTGAGCTATAGTCCTATAAAAAATTGTCATCAGTAATTTAAAAACTCATTTACCGAGTAAAATGTATTTTGGAGAAGCCACTGGTATAATTTTTTTTTAATGTTTGCATAGGAAGATCTTTAATTATGTTTGGTATTTTATTGTATATTGTTTTACCCATCCAGTAACAACTTTTGCTAAAGTGTTTACTTCTTGGTATTTCGCTAATTACTCTCCGATCTGGGTATCTCGTGTTCATGGATACCACTTCTTTATTAAGTTTATAGAAACTCTTCCCGTGTTGTTTTACAAACTTGGCAACTTCTAAAATATACAAACAAGGCACGGGTAAGATCCCCAGTGTATGTGTTAGTTCTGCCCAAAATCCGAGGGTAGAATGACAACGGCAACGGCGTAGTGGGAAAAAGAAGCCACACCGTGCCGGCAAATGGAAAACCGCCCATTATGTAGTGCTTTACACGTCAAGGTCAAGCAATTTTGTGTTCTTAAAATGCCTTTATTATAACCATATTGCTCTTATACGATAATATGAGTAGCCGTATATCAAGAAAAACTCTAATTATCTATCTTATATTTTCTAAAAAATCATTTTATATTCCTACTTTGTAAAAAAACTTTTATGTGGACGTCCGGATGTTGATTTTGTATGTGCTCACGATAACTAAAAATTTACGTATGGGAACGGGTTTTTTATTAGCTTCAGAATTACATCATCTGGTTTCCTATTTCATATCAATAGCCCAGCCCTAGTACGCGTAGTTTGTTAATAAAATGATTTTCAACTTATATAAGTTTTATTGCTATTAAAAATTAAAGGCGCTTTCATATTTTTTTAGCCCTTAATAGACAAAGGACGAATGTACAGCCTATATCGATTTTATACTTTGTGTAACCGAATTATTTTGGTAAACATTATTACTTTTTTCCCTGTAGGTGACACTACCTGTTAAAACAATAGAGCGCTAAATTCAAAACACGTAACTAATATATTTTAAGTCAGAAATACAATTTACTTTTTTCATCAAAATTAAAATAAATGCTGATGAGGCGTGCACACAAATAAATAAATTATTATATACCGATATTACATTTTTTGAAAATACGAGTAAATAAAGCTTCTACTTTTATTTGAAATCATCCCAAATTGAATGCTATTTATGGGCAATAACTACTCTTACGCGCGATCCTGTGTGTGTGTGATTCATGTCACGTTTTCGTTTCTCAAGTTTTTGCCTACTGTTTACTTTCTTAGTGACACGCTTACTACTAATGCTTAAGATAATAACTACATGACGTGAATTATGATTCCAATTTTCCTTTTAAAGTTTAAACGAGCTTAGGATCGTCATAATAAATAAAATTAAAAAATATACTTTTGCTTATCAACGATGACTGTCATTATTATGGAGTATTTAAAAAAATGGAATAAACTATTAACAACTAAATAACGCAAGTAGTTCCAATATTTTAATATTGGTACCTCAAAATGGAATCCGTTTATCTTGTGGGGATGTGAATAACGAACACACTGCATATTAAATAACAATTTATTCACTACATAAATTTAAAGTAGCGGATCGGAGCGCAAACGAGTGGCCTGACGGTGCTGGACGATCGGATCGACTGGCGAGGCGAGAAAAACCGAAAACTTATTACCTGTTCTTGAGCAGTATTAACTTCCGTGAACGCAGCGATAATTTACTTATATTTTTGTCTCCATAACTTTGGGTCTCTTTATACACAGATAAAAGAATAACGGTGAAAGTTCCGGCGAGTTTGCAGACCATAGTATAGGGCCTCCGTGCACAATCCACCTATCTTCATATTCACTATTTAAGCTAACGCTTACTGCACTTGAATAGTTTTATTATCTGTTAATTGTTCTTCGATTGGTAGGTTAATTACGACACGTACGTTATTGCCGCGGTTAAGGCTCACTTTAGTATCTTTGCATACTACGTAAACTTTCATTGCCTAAATATAATATCCCACCATTTCATAGTTTCATAGTTTTCGCGGTTCGAATATTTTCGTTACGTCATTGGTAACGAAGTGTACGTAATGAGGTCATGGTCAACACTCAGCTGTCGGCCGGGCGAGCAACGTAGATACTTACCGGTGTAACGGTAAATAGACCCTTACGAATGTGTACGTGCGTAAAATAGTACGCGTCAGATATTTATAAATGATAATTAGTTAAAATAATGCATTACCACGCATTTTCAATTTAAAAGATAAAAACGACAGAATGTTTGAGATTTTTCTTAATTAATTTTTCTTCACCATTTGCCTATGTTACTTATTCTGAACCTTCTCTACAAATTTGGCCGGTTATTGCAACATAACCCTGTATACAGAGTGGTCCAAATAGTGACGTCCAAAAGAAAAATTTAAATTCCCCACACCTAGGGGTATCCGAAAATACCCCATATATGTTATCCGATTTTTTGTAGTTTTCGAGTTATAATTTGTTTTGTATTTTTTTAGTGTTTTCTGCCCTTGGGGCTTCAAAAATTCATATCTTTTTTTTATAGCATTTATTTTTCAGATTTTTTTTCTTTTGACATGATTGTTTTAAATTATACTTTCACACATAAAATAATAAATTTCCTAACATTCATGCAAGTTACTCAAAAACCATCGAAAGTAAGAATATTAGTTTTTAGTGGGATAGACTCAAATTTTGATCCTTAATTTAAAAATACAAAAAGGAGTTTCCATAGATTCCAGCTGATTTTAAAAACTTTGCATAACGGGCAATTATTTGCTGTAATCGGCCTTCGAAGCTAAAAATCCACAAATTTTTTTAAGCTTTAAAGAAATTTTTTGCCATCCCTACGGCAAATTTTAGTGGAAAATTCTCGATTGTATTCAAATGTACACAAATTGACCGATAAAGATGATGATAAGATGGTAATTTGTAAATATTTAATGAAATAAGGTGTTATTTATTCACTAGGTCATTAGGGCGCTTATTTTTGTATGATAACAAAAAAAAATTGTCAGTAATTAACCATTTTAATTCTTTATTAAAGCAAGTTTTCAAAATGACGCCCTCCCATTTCAATACTAAGATGACAGCGTTTTAAAAAGTTATCTTTTACTGTCTGAAAGAACGTGAAGGATTTTTTTTACATTTATCTTGCAGCTATTTCCAAATTTTCTTCCGATTCTTCTTCATTATCTACTTCCCGCGCGTACACCAGCTCCTTGTAAAATCCCTAAATAAAAGTCGATAGGGTTTAGGTCTGTCGAATGTGCAGGCCATTCGATCGGTTTTGTCGAAAAGTTTCGTTGAGATACTTACAAATTAAATTAAAATTAAAAATAATTTGTTGTCGTACCGCTACGTTCACGTCTTCCAACAATTCATAAAAGTGATTTTGTAAAAAATTCAGCCATCGGGCTGTTAATTTACGTGAGTTTCGGTGCAATAATAATAATTATAATTTTTTTTCACCAAAACTCCAGTAAAATAACACTAGCAAGACACGTACATCATAATAATTCATAATTTGAGCATTGTTAAACGGGTTTTCGACCTATTTTTTTTTACATGTTATTACATAAATTTATATAAGAATGACAAATTAGGCAAAATAATTTTTCAAAACTAAATTTTTTTGTGGGTTTTTAGCCTATCCACCTTCGAAGGCGGATTATAGCGAATAATAGCCCATTAAGTACCAATTTTTTTTTAAATGTTTTAAATAGCTTAGGTACTTGCAAAGTTTTTAAAGTCAGTTAGAACCTATGGAAACTCCTTTTTGTATTTTTAAATTGAATTTGAATATTTGAGTCTACCCCACTAAAAACTAAAATTCTTATTTTCGGTTCTTTTTTGAGTAACTTGCAGGAATGTTAGGAAATTTATTATTTTATGTGTAAAAGTATCATTTAAGACAATTATGTCAAAAGAAAAAAAAATCAGAAAAATATCTACTACAAAAAAGATATGAATTTTTGAAGCCCACCGGCAGAAAACACTAAAAAAATACAAAACTAATTATAACTCGAAAACTACAAAAAATCTCATATATATGTATATCTGATAATATACATGGGGTATTTTCGGCTATCCCTAGGTGTGTGGAATTTAAATTTTTATTTTGGACGTCACTATTTGGACCATTCTGTATATAATATATAAAATTCAATATGTTAAGGTATATATATAAATACAATTTAATATTAATTAATTATGTACTATAATTTAAATTAGTAATTGTAAAGTTTATTTGTTTCTATAGCAAGAGCGTAGGAAGGATAAGCAGAAGTTGAAACAGCGTAAAGAGAATGATGTGCCACAAGCAATGCTACAAGGAGATCAACCTGCACGTAAACGAAGTAAACTGGTGCTTCCTGAACCACAAGTGTCTGATCAGGTTTGTAGTGTCGTATGAAATTGTTTCTACAGTTATTTTTAATATAGAAAGCTGCTCAGGTTAAAAGTTCTATTATAATTTGTTATACAGAATGATATTCAGTCTTACCTTAAATTTCAACAGAGTAATTAAAGGCTTATTATTCTATAGTATACCTTTGTATAGTAGAATTTTTTTGTCGATATGTGCAGTCTGTTAACCTTCTTCACAACGGATTTGATCATTACGACTAGAATTTGTTGATTACATAGTATTAATATTATAATGCTGTCAGTAGAGACAATTCCTCTTACTTTTTAGTACCCTTTAGTCAAATACAAAGATGCAGTAGTTGTAGTAAGGGGCAATTTAGGGAAACTGAAACAGCAGATGTGCAGCAGCATTTTCCTGCCAGATAAGTGTGGCAACTATGGCAAAATCTTCTTTATGAGGTAATCTATGGGAAGGGCTTATGTTTAGTAGTGAACTTTTGATATATTTAATGAACAAAAAAAATTATAAGGATATACATAATACATATAGACCCAGAACATTAAAAATATTTTATAATAGTGATTATATTTTATATTTTACATGTGTTAGTTTTTTTGTTATGTTTTCTTTTACCACCAAGTTTATAAAATACATATCCTTGTGCCCATCAGTGGGGCGTAAACAGCTGTTGCTTTATTATTTCTACGTGGTAGAGCCATGCTGCAGCTATATTATGGTTGTAGCACGAATGGGTCGGCTCGACCGGGGAAGGACCACGCTCTCACAGAAAACCAGCGTAAAATAGCAGCTTAATGCTGCTGTGTTTCGTATGGTGAGTGTAGAGAACCGGAGACCCTTTTTACTGGCAAAGAGGCATTCCATCTTAGTCCTCACGGGTGACAACGCATCTGCATCTTGAGTCTTTATTGAGATAGATATAGATGTCTATGAGTCACAGTAACCACTTACCATCAGGTGGACTGTGTGCTCGTTTGTCACCCGATCCTATAAAAAAAAAACACATAGTACAGCCTATTAAAAGTCTACTGCTGAACACAGGCCATTTAAATTGCGCTTGGTAGGTGGACAACTATAAATTATAATAAACTGTGGTAGTAGCCACAGTTCTTTAAAACTAAATCATTTTGAACAACTAAATTATGAAATAATAATACAAATTTTATGTCCTTTTCCCGGAACCACATTTAATTGAAGCTTAATAAAGTAACGCCATGTAGTGGCATTGTAAGAATATCCACTACCCTATAACATCCCGTGGGGGGCGACAAAGGTTGGCAACTATGGTAAATATCACTCCTATGAGATGATAATATGGGGGAGGGTTAGCTCCAGGTGTGAAGTTTGAAGGTTGTAACGGTTACCGTTAGTGGCACGTTTGGTTCGGTTGGTTGATGGGTTTGTGTGCGGGCGCAGGAGCTGCAGCAGGTGGTGAAGCTGGGGCGCGCGTCGGAGGCGGCGCGGTCGAGCGCGGGCGCGGCGGGCGCGGCCACCGACGCGCTGCTGGCCGCCTACGCGCTGGCGCCCGCGCCCGCCACCGCGCTGCGCACGCCCGCCGCGCACCGCGACAGGTGACCCTCCGCACGCACCATGCACGCACCGCGCACTCTTCACGAACGATCCTCTCTAGTCCTTCGAGCCGGATTATCATCCCCGATATGCTTGAAATAGATTCTTATTAGTAATAAGTGTCATATTTCGTTTTTTTTATTTTATATTTTATAAACATCTTCCGCTTTCTGTGACATTGTGTCGTCAACTTGTCAATACTCATACTGTTTCCATCATTTATATTTAATCATTATACTAGTAACAAAAATGACATACTTTTCTTTAAAACACTTTATAATATTATCTCATCCAACTGCATCGTTTGTCTAGTGGTCGTAAACGCGATTGCTGATGATCATGAGCTCCTGAGTCGTGCATAAATTAGTTATTAGGCTTTTTCTCATGAAATTCTCGGTAAACAGCCTGAAGTTAGGAAGCTAGCGATTTTCACACCCGTGCCTCAGAAAGCATGTAATGCCGTTGGCCCTGCACCTGATCTCTCTCCGCTCGTGTAAAATTATCGTCCCATCCAATTATGAAAATGAGAGAATAGAGAATGCACCTATGCTTGCGCATACACATGGCCACTATAATCCTGTCTTACGCAGATGGCCGCCGTGATCGTAATTCAGTCTAGAAGATTATCCCATAGAATGGCGAAATTTAAATAGAACATGGTTAACTGTAATGTCGCCTAGGAAACACATCAACTTAAAAACTTTTTATCCGTATGTCATACGAAATATCGAATATTAATAATTAACATAATTAATTTAAACACATCTCATATAGTCATAATTTTCACTCATTAAAAAGAAATCCTTTCGCTTAACTAAAACTAAATACAAGTCTAATAATTTTTAGATCCTTATGTCTATTGTAAGGAGATAAGTTAGCTTTATTTTTACAATATCTGTTTAATTTGGCTTATAACAAAGCAACTATATACTATACTTAAAATAACCTAATTAAAGTTTATAACAATATAAATATTTGGTTTCAGAATACTAATGGAAGCGCAAAATGTGATGGCGTTGACGCACGTTGACACCCCACTAAAGGGTGGTCTTAACACTCCACTTCATGAATCCGATTTCTCAGGAGCACTGCCACAATCGCAAGCCGTCGCCACTCCTAATACGCTGTTAGTTACGCCTTTTAGGTGAGGATATTTTAATTTTGTTAATAAATCTAAAATCCCAAATATTTTGATTGCCTCTAATCATTACTGTCTTATCACATAAATTATTACACAACGGATGCTGGGGCAGGTTAAGACCAATTTCTATAAGTCAAAGCTGGCTATGGAGGATGTAGACACCAATAATGACGAGAACCACTTTATCGTTAATGTTTTTTTTTTTGCTTAGTTCTAGTCTTATAGTGGAAACAAGTAAAATGCAGTGACACCATCTTGAATTTAAAATATGTTACTGTTAGTATAATTTCAAATTTCAACTCTGTCATCCTCTTCAATGTGCATTGAAGTAAACATGATTACGATGATTCTTTTAATATAAATAATGGTGGCAAAAATACGCAGTAAACCTAATGGTAATTGAATCCCGTGACACAAACACCTATTCTCGATAAAGAATTAAAATGAAGATATATTGACACTGAGGAACGCTAAATCAAATAGTGTCTTGTTAGTAGTAAAATGAACTGCACTTCTCGTCACTCAGCATAGTGAACACGGCGGCATTATGCTGCTACTTAACGCTGGTATTGTTTGTGGGTGTGGTCCTTCTCCAGACAAGCTGACCATTTGTGCTGCAGCCATAATACACTGTGGCATGGCCCCTCCACGTATAGAATTGATGTGTTCAATTGCGAATGAGCAATAATTTTTATATTCATGTATCATATTTAATGGAAATTTGATATTTGCAGATCTTCTCACAGTGAAGCATCCACTCCTAGTAATTTTAACACGCCTGGCCAAGGACAGACCGGACAACCAGGATTAACTGTATGTATATTTATTCAAGTTTTTTTTTTTCTATAATATTGAATGAGAAATAAATGTAAAAATCTATTTCAGACTCCTGCGCTCCGAGATAAACTAAGTATAAATCCAGAAGATCAATTGGGACCAGGTGACACACCACAACTAGCCAACAAAATGCAAAAACAGGTAAAACTAAAATATTTTTTATGTAAGTTTTGTAAATGGAATGTATTGTTTACCTGATAGGAAGTAATGACTTGTGTATAGAGCGAGTTTGCAATGAAGAACGGAGAAGTAAAAGAAAAATGTGTAGTTGTTACCTCCAATGGCAACATTGCCATTTAATTTGTAAGGCATGTACACCTGTTTTTCATATTTTACTGAATGGCACAGTGCCACATTATATTCCTTGAGCTAGTGTTCCGAGCAACCAAAGCCTTACAGTATAGAATGGTAAATTGACGTTTAAAATGTCATATGGGGTTTCTATTAATGATCTATGCTATAAGAGCAATGTGCATTTGGTACATACAGGCATCAAAAGACACATAAGCAGCCGGTAACCTACTTTTAACATTATATTTAGTCTTATAATAAAAGTATTTAACGTTGCAGTTAAAAGCGTCCGTCCGAACTGCGCTTCAGTCGTTACCGACACCTCGTAATGATTACGAGATAGTCGTACCAGAAGAGAGCGATGAGCCGATGGAGACCTCGAATGCGATCAACTCCATCGAAGACCAAGCAGACGCCGACGCTCGTATGTTACAAGAACAGGAGGAGAAACGTACGTAACTTTTATATTATAACAAATATTATTATACAGGGTTATTTTGCAATATACGCCCAACGGTGAAGAAAAATTATTAAAAAAAATTTCAAACATTGTCTTTTTTATCTTTTAAATTCAAAATGCGTGGTAATGCATTATTTTTACTGATTTCATTCATTAATATGTAACGCCTACTATTTTACTACACACGCACACATTCGTAAGAGTCGCTCGTTCGGCAAAGACGTACGCGTACGCGTAGTTGTTGCCTATTAATCACATTAAATTTGGGATAATTTTGAATAAAAATATAAGCCTTAATTACTTGTATTTTCAAAAACTGCATTAATTGTATTGTTTTTATAGCAGAGGGGGCAAACGTGCATACGGCTCACCTGATGGTAAGTGACTACCGCCGCCCATAAACAACTGCAACACCAGGGGAATAGCAGATGCGTTGCCGGCCTTTTAAAAAGAGCAGGTTCTTTTCTTGAAGGTTCCTAAGTCGTATCGGTCCGGAAAAATCTGGTGGTATTCGGTTCCACAAGAAAATTGTGCGAGGAAGAAAACTTCTTTTAAATCGCATTGTGGTAGACCTTCAATTATCCACTGGTAAGGATGGTATCGGGAGTTTTACCGCGATGTGCAATGGTAAATTTGAGCGGCTGGAATTAGTCCGAATAATTCATCAGAGCACTCCCGTGGTAGATGCGATAAATGCGCATTCCAGCCGCGCGAAATGGATACCGCATTGGAACACGCGCCAAATTGTTCGTTGGAATGTTTAAACGTGAAGCGGGCCGTTCCATCTGGTGTCGGTTTTTTAACGCGTATCAAAGTAGATAAGTTTTGGCGCGTGCGCCAGTTGGGACGGTTGTTTTCATCATTCATGTGTTCGTTGCGTTCCGATCTATGGATAATAAAAGTTTGCGCAAATTGATAAAATTATATGGTTCAAAATAACTGCTGTGGAATAGCAAAAGTCGTTTTTATTATGATAACGCGCTCAGAGAAGATGTATGGAACTATGAAAACAGCAGCTGTTCGTACACGACCGACATTCATGTTGAACGGTCAACCACTGGAACGGTTGCCGCGCGCGCCAGACGCGCTTCAAAATTTTAGAACGCGTTCCGCGGAACGCACTGGTCGGCGCGGTCAGTCAAGGCGCGCGCGCCAAGAGCGCGTAACCGATACGTGGATTAAGACGCGCGTGAGCTTGAGTGCGCGCGTGACACAAGTCATACTTTTTAACTTCTGAAGCCCCGATATTGTATTAGGCCAACTTCGTCAGACCTATGGCCAAGGTCAATAATATATTGTTTGCAGAACAATTCTTTTTTAAATATTATTTATAAGAATTATACAACTAAAATTCTAATAATTTTATTATAACTAGCGATCCGCCCGAAGCTCCGCACGATTAATTTCTGGACTTCGCAGCACCAAATGTGAATGTAAACCCATACCCATTCAAACTCCCAAAAAATGCATCAAAATCGGTCAAGCCGTTTTCGAGTTTTAGCGAGACTAACGGACAGCAATTGATTTTTATATATAGGGATTACTTTCGTTATTAAATTACGAGAATTAAATAAATAAAATAAATTAAGAGAATTTACTCCAAATGCTTCCCTCTATTAGAACTACGTCGGCTTCGCAGCTCGATGTAGTACTTGAGAAACCGTGTAGATGACGCTGTCACAGAATTATTTCATTAGTGAAAATTAACATAGTAGTGTAAATCAATAGGTGAACACACTTCCATTTTAGAGGTTTTCAAATAAATTGGTAATTTTAAGGTAGAAATCTTTTAAAACAACAATATCAAACAACATCTTTTTATAAATTATTTCTTATATTTACGCGAATACTGCACATTTAAATAAAACTAGTTTTACGGATTTTATGGCGTATATTAACTTATTTTATATTCCTGACGTTTCGAGTACTTTACAGCACACATGGTCAGAAAACAACAAAAGTTTATAATTTTTAATCTGGAGGTAGCCGTCATTACCATGACATTGGGACGTCAAACACCTCTTTTCCCCCTGTGACCCCCTGTGAACATGGGTACAGCACCCATGGTCACAGGGCGTAGGGGGGGTCAAAGTACTCGAAACGTCGGGAATATAAAATAAGTTAATATACGCGATAAAGTCCGTAAAACTAGTTTTATTTAAACATTTTTTTACAAATGAAACAATTATGTGAGCCATCTACACGATCTCTGAAGTACTACAACGACCTGCGAAGACGATGTTGGTAAAGTAGCATTATGGCGTAATAAAGCAAATTGAAATTAAATTTTTTAAATTTATCTCTCGTATTATCTTAATTCTCGTTATATAGTAATGAGACTAATTGTAATCAGGTATGGAAAAAAATCATGATTTTTTGAATTTTTTGATTTTATCTGTATATTTGGAAATTCACGAGTTGGGGTAACACTTTTTGACATAGTAGGATTAAAAGTTTATGAATTCATAATATGTATGAGACTGATTAAGAGTAAAATAAATAATATTGTATTAATTACAATTCATATATTAAGGGTGAATTTCTAAAAAAAAAAATTTGATTGATTTTACTAAGGTTATGAGACTGACAGACCACATCGCTACGTCTTTGTTGATTTTCCAAAGCTTACGAGACTATTGTAGTAGAATAATAAGAATAACATAAAATATTTATGATTTTACCTTATTTTTAGCCAGTTTTTTTTTTCATTTTCTGCCTGTTACCTTAATTTTGATTTAAATCAATGATTTTTTTAATCAAAATCAAGCGATTTAAATCACTCTGATTTAAATCAGCCAACCCTGATTGTAATAAAAAATTTAGAATTGTAGTTGTATAATTGTTATAAATAATTTTTTTTTTTTATAGGAGAGTGGGCAAACGAGCATGCGGCTCACCTGATGGTAAGTGACTACCGCCGCCCATGAACAACTGCAACACCAGGGGAATCGCAGATGCGTTGCCGGCTTTTTAAAAAGGAGTACGCTCTTTTCTTGAAGGTCCCTAAGTCGTATCGGTCCGGAAAAATCGCTGATGGTAATCGATTCCACAAGGAGGTCGTGCGAGGAAGAAAATATCTTCTAAATCGCACAGTGGTGGACCGCCAATCATCCAGATGGTGTGGATGGTATCGGGAGTTCTGCCGCGATGTGCGTTCGTGAAATTTGGCGGCTGGGATTAATCCGAACAATTCCTCAGAGCACTCCCCATGGTAGATGCGAAAGAAAATGCAAAGGGATGCAACATCTCTTCGCAGTGCCAATGAATCGAGCCGATCGGAAAGGGCTCGGTCATCGACAATTCGAGCCGCTCTGCGTTGGATGCGGTCAAGTGGAAGGAGCTGGCACTGGGGAGCCCCTGCCCAGAGATGGGAACAGTATTCCATGTGAGGCCGAACTTGCGCCTTGTAAAGTAGCAGGCGGTGTGCCGGCATGAAATACTGTCCCGCTCTGCTAAGCACGCCAAGCTTTTTAGAGGCCAATTTGGCCTTCCCTTCCAAGTGACCACGAAACTGCACGTCACTCGATATGTCGACTCCGAGGATACCGATACTGGCTGAGGCAAGAAGGGGAGTGCCTTGAAACTGAGGAGATACGACAAAGGGGTTCTTTTTAGCGGTAAACGCGCAAACTTGTGTCTTCTGAGGATTAAATTGGACTAGATTTAGTCGCCCCCAATCCGAGACTTTGTTCAGCAAAGACTCGACTTCAGACACAAGTTTGTTCCGGTACTCAGCGACGTTTTCCCGAGAAATATTGGCACGGCCGGTGTATAGAGCATCACCAGTGCTGTCATCCGCATAGCAATGAATGTTACCAGTTAGCAACATATCATTGATATGCAGAAGAAACAGCGTTGGTGATAGCACACAGCCTTGTGGAACACCAGCGTTAATAGGCTTGTAGTCAGAGCATGCACCGTCTACAACGACCTTGATGCTCCGATCTACAAGGAAGCTGGTGATCCAATTGCACAATTTCTCGGGAAGCCCATAGGAAGGGAGCTTTGAAAGAAGCGCTTTGTGCCAAACCCGATCGAAGGCCTTCGCAATGTCCAGACTAACGGCCAACGCCTCCCCCTTGGACTCTACTGCCTCCGCCCATCTATGGGTCAGGTAGACCAGAAGATCACTAGCTGATCGACCCCGACGAAAACCGTATTGGCGGTCACTAATCAGCTGGTGATCCTCAAGGTACCGGATGAGCTGGCAGTTAATAATGGATTCCATTATTTTGGAGAACAAGGAGGTGATCGCGATAGGCCTATAGTTGGATGGGTCTGAGCGGTCGCCTTTTTTAGGGATCGGGTGGACAAAAGCTGTCTTCCATGAATTCGGGACTACGCCTTGGGAGTAGGAGTACCGGAAAAGACGCGTTAGGACCGGTGCCAACTCCGGAGCACACGTCCTCAGCACAATTGGGGAGTTTCCGTCAGGCCCACTCGACTTCTGGATGTCCAGGGAGAGCAGTGCTTTGCGAACCGAGCGCTGTGAGAACAGCACATCCGGCATGGAGCACTCACACCGCGGGATGGTTGGCGGTGTTTTCCCCCCGTCATCAAGAGTCGAGTTGGACGCAAAAAAAGGTCGGCTTTGTCTTTTGCGTCATGGGCCAGTCAGTCATCCTCCCTGTGCAGAGATGGTAGTGATGGCTTACAGAAATTCCCTTGGACAGCCTTGGCGAGAGACCAGAATGCACGGGTTCCCGAAGGAAGGCGAACTAGTTTCTCGCCAATTCTGCCTATGTGCTCTGACTTTGCCTTGGCAATAACTCTTTTGAAGGACCTGGAGGCGAAGTTATACTTCTTTTTAAGTGTGCTGGTATTTACATCCCGAGTCGCCGAAGCCGCAGTCCAGGCTTGATAACACTCCTGCTTACTGCGTAATGCAGTCTTACAGGAGCGACCAAACCAAGGCTGAGATCTGCCTCCGATGGGTAATATAATAAATAAAAGAATTGTTCTGAGGGATTTACAAAGGTGACATTTGATTATCTCATGTATTGATTTGGTATGTGACAGATTGAGGTTAATGACATTCTTATTCTTAGTGGAATCGTATTGTTAGTGTGCTTCAAACAGTTTCAATATACTTATATGTTTAGTAGTGGATTAGTGAATGGCTGTAATGGATGAATGGATGGCTTACGTGAGTATTTTTCATTTCGTGCAGGCGCGGCGGCGCTGGCGCTGCGGTCGAGCGCGGTGCGGCGCGGCGCGGCGCGGCCGGCCGACGTGAACGCGGCCGTGCTGCGCGGCGCCGCCTCGCTCAGCGCGCTGCAGCACGCCGAGGAGCTGCTCAAGGCCGAGATGCTCGCCATGCTGCACTACGACGCGCTGCACGACCCGCCGCCAGGTAGGTGCGCGCCCGCGGCCCGTCCTGCAACTTATCGTACGACGTGCACGCGGCCGTGCTGCGCGGCGCCGCCTCGCTCAGCGCGCTGCAGCACGCCGAGGAGCTGCTCAAGGCCGAGATGCTCGCCATGCTGCACTACGACGCGCTGCACGACCCGCCGCCAGGTAGGTGCGCGCCCGCGGCCCGTCCTGCAACTTATCGTACGACGTGCACGCGGCCGTGCTGCGCGGCGCCGCCTCGCTCAGCGCGCTGCAGCACGCCGAGGAGCTGCTCAAGGCCGAGATGCTCGCCATGCTGCACTACGACGCGCTGCACGACCCGCCGCCAGGTAGGTGCGCGCCCGCGGCCCGTCCTGCAACTTATCGTACGACGTGCACGCGGCCGTGCTGCGCGGCGCCGCCTCGCTCAGCGCGCTGCAGCACGCCGAGGAGCTGCTCAAGGCCGAGATGCTCGCCATGCTGCACTACGACGCGCTGCACGACCCGCCGCCAGGTAGGTGCGCGCCCGCGGCCCGTCCTGCAACTTATCGTACGACGTGCACGCGGCCGTGCTGCGCGGCGCCGCCTCGCTCAGCGCGCTGCAGCACGCCGAGGAGCTGCTCAAGGCCGAGATGCTCGCCATGCTGCACTACGACGCGCTGCACGACCCGCCGCCAGGTAGGTGCGCGCCCGCGGCCCGTCCTGCAACTTATCGTACGACGTGCACGCGGCCGTGCTGCGCGGCGCCGCCTCGCTCAGCGCGCTGCAGCACGCCGAGGAGCTGCTCAAGGCCGAGATGCTCGCCATGCTGCACTACGACGCGCTGCACGACCCGCCGCCAGGTAGGTGCGCGCCCGCGGCCCGTCCTGCAACTTATCGTACGACGTGCACGCGGCCGTGCTGCGCGGCGCCGCCTCGCTCAGCGCGCTGCAGCACGCCGAGGAGCTGCTCAAGGCCGAGATGCTCGCCATGCTGCACTACGACGCGCTGCACGACCCGCCGCCAGGTAGGTGCGCGCCCGCGGCCCGTCCTGCAACTTATCGTACGACGTGCACGCGGCCGTGCTGCGCGGCGCCGCCTCGCTCAGCGCGCTGCAGCACGCCGAGGAGCTGCTCAAGGCCGAGATGCTCGCTATGCTGCACTACGACGCGCTGCACGACCCGCCGCCAGGTAGTACGTATAGTAGTACGTACTCTACGTACTACTACGCACGTTGGTACTCCTCCTTCCACACTGTGTCTGTTCCAATACGTAGTACATATTAGTTCATCAATAAACAATCCCAGGTCAGGTCAAAATCATATGCGACGAAAGTTGAACACCACGGGGTTTTAGTCGGTGCGAGTCTGACATAACCCGTCCTTGCCCCCGCGAGGCGGCTATGCGTAGGCATTTTCGTATGTAAAAAAAAGATCAAAATCAGTTGTTAGCTTTTTCTGTCAAGAAATTTTCAGTAGTAACAAGGAATCAAGAAGTTGTAGTGTTTCACCCCGTGCATCAGAAAATACATAAAGCTGTTGATCATGCATCTGATGTTTCTCCGGTCATGTCGGATAATGGTTATCCATCGCACTATGAGAGTGTGGAATAGAAAGTGCACCTGAGCTTAGGTATATACACTCAGGCATTATAACCTGCACCTGCGCAGATGGCTGGTCACCGTTGAAACTAGCCGCTGTGCCGGAAACTTAGTCTGGGGACGACATGTTGCATACATTGCATAGCTAGTGGACACACCTAAGCATCCTGTTAAAATGAAATGCGAAACTAGCCAAGTTAACCGATTCGTTACGGCACCGATTTTCGACAACTTTGGCGGCGAACAAATATTCCATGACACGCCTGGCGTGTCAAGCGCAACAGACGACGGCTATTGTGCCATCAGCCATGTGTAAGAATAATTTTCTTTTTTATGCTTTTTTCACTTGTTTAGACCTTTACTAGAATTAAGTTTAGTTGACATCAAACATCGGTTACAAACGGAAGGATACTTGTTTTTAGTGGGTAACTACGTGTTTTCTTTGAAAATGAGAGTAAGTGACTTTTTTTATGCAGAGATTACAAACCTTTTGTACTATTTTTTGTTTTATAAAAAAATAATTTATATAAGAAGGTACAGCTAAATCACCCTGGAACACTGTTACAGAACATTGTTAAGACGTCAATCCCATTTATTGTATGTAATAATTAACGGATTATTGAAAATAAAATAAGTCAAACCCAGAGATTTTAACACCATCGTGTGTTACGATATGTATAGTAGACAGACACTAGTACCCACTACACGAAAACACACGCCCGAATCTATAGCGTTAGAAAGTTTAACACATAAATATGATTCGCCACCTATACAATGGCTCAATCGAGTCTTGAGACCATCACGTTATTATCATACAACCTATTACTTACTGCTAAAGTAAAGGGTTGTTTAAAATTCGTGCCATCTATTATTCATTGTACATTTTTTGTACGTGGTAGAGCCATGCTGCAGCTATATTAGTAGTATAGTTGTAGCACGAATGGGTCGGCTCGACCGGGGAAGGACCACGCTCTCCCAGAATACCAGCGTCAAATAGCAGCTTAACACTGCTGTGTTTCGTATGGTGAGTGTAGAGAACCGGAGACCCTTTTTACTGCAAAAGAGGCATTCCATCTTAGTCCTCACGGGTGACAACGCATCTGCATTTTGATTCGCAAACGAGGATAAATGTAGATGTCTATGAGCCACAGCAACCACTTACCATCAGGTGGACTGTGTGCTCGTTTGTCACCCTATCCTATAAAAAAAATTATACAGCATGAATAATAACTGATGTCGATCAACCTGTTCAAAGCACAGCAACCTTCCTAAATTACCATCATGAAACAAATTTACATTAAGGTTCAATGTCTAGAAAGAAAAGGATGATCAATGATCACAACAGATCCAAAAGCAAGTTACTGTTCCAAAATATTAGCTTGATATAGATCTGAAAGCAGTACTACTTAATAAGCAAAATTGAAAACGATCACATTCACATGTTATTTGAATAATGAAAAGACATTATTCTGGATATATTACAGGCATAGACAAAAAACGAATTGTTCAACTGCAAGCATCACATTTGGCCTATCTTGAACAACATCCATACGAAGAATTCACCGCCGAAGAGTTATCTGAGGCTAAACAGCTCTTACAGAAAGAAATGGAGGTAGTAAAGGCTGGTATGGGACATGGAGAACTCAGCTTGGATGCTTACACCCAAGTGTGGGAGGAGTGTCTAGCTCAAGTAAGTAACAATGTTATCACAATTAGTAGCGTAAATTGCACAATTTACCAATTATAGTTTAGCGAATTTACAATATTTTTCACAATTAAGTAGTTAAACATTAAAATACGATATCCCCAATATAAAATAAAGGTTGATGTAATGTCCCAAGGGAAAATTCGTATAAAGGAAAATTAATAGAATGTAAAATTCACGATAGAAGTAGATAATAAATATAACTTAATGGTCCATCATAAACAAAATTGTTTGGGAGTAAATAAATATCACCATCTCTCTATTTAGAACAGAAATAAGTTTTACTAGCTTATAAGGTTTGTGCAGTTAAAATTAAAACAAAAGCCTATGGGCTGGTATTTTAAATAATTTATTTATTGTCATTTATTCTCAGGTACTTTTCCTGCCTGGCCAGAATAGGTATACACGTGCCAATTTAGCGAGTAAAAAAGATAGGTTAGAATCGGCTGAAAAAAGATTAGAACAAAATAGAAATCATATGGCAAAAGAAGCAAAGAAATGTTCTAAAATGGAGAAAAAACTTCGAGTATTGACCGGTAAACAATTTTATTGTAAATTTATTTAATTTTGACTTATCTTTCTCTCTGAGGAAATGTGCTTGTTTCAAATATTTTTTCTATATTTAGGTGGTTATCAAAGTCGAGCAGCATCGCTTATAAAACAGTTTCAAGAGCTTCAAGATCAAATTGAGCAAGCTAATTTGGAACTGTCTACGTTTAAGTTTTTAGCTGAACAAGAGAAGGCTGCAATTCCGCGTAGAATAGAGGTATAATTTTTTATTTATATGTACTATTTTCATCATTACGATAAGTTAATTTTGAACATTATTATCATTCATAACAAATTTATTTTTATTTCTAGTCACTGACAGAAGATGTGAATCGTCAAACTGATCGTGAGAAGCAACTTCAGAAGAGATATGCAGAGCTTCAAGCAGAATTAGAAGATATTCATAAAGGCAAGCAATTAAAAGAGACTGAACCTAAGCCGGTTGAAGAATAATAATTTTATTATAGTTCTAATACAATTTTGTACAACAATAATCGGCATAGATATGCATTATAATGATGTATAAACATTTGCATTTTCATGTTGTTCTTAATGTAATGTTTTGTGGCACGTTTTCCTTTAGAAAAAATAAATGGCGATTTTTAACAATGTACTGCTTAATTATTGCTGTAAACAAGCAATAGTTAATTAATTCATGCTTAAATGCAATAAAATTATTGACAAACAACATTGAGCTGTATTGTACAAACATTCTTAAATTATAAAACTGCTGGAATAGTTATTATGTTATAATAAATATAATAAATTATAAACCACACAAAAATTTCTATTTCTTTTCTTATATTACATGATTATCCTATAGAAACCGAGTTTGTTGTTTAGTTAGATTATACTAATAAAATTCAAAATACTATACAAATGTAAGGTTCAAAGTGCTTTTGTTTTATGTACATCTATTACAATATCACAGTCTTATAAATAAAACGGGCTTGCCGCTATAAATTACAAATGTTTTACTAGCTGCTATCATCTGAATCACTCTGGATTTGTCTCTTCACATTTTTGTTTTTTCGCCTAACAACAGGACTATCACTGTTTTCCTTCTCAGTTCTTTCTGGGATTACACCGTTTTTCTTTTTCTTTCTCTTTTCTTTTAAAAGTCTTTCTGCCATATCTAATTCTGACACTTCATTGACCTGTGTTAGTCCAATGTGCGAGTCAACACAAAAACTATCCTGAAAGTTTAATTTGTATATTTTTTTTATAAATAAAATGCATATTTCAGCGATTTTTATGTGAAATAAAAGATTGTATTTACCATCTCATAATCGTCTTCTTCAATAAATTGTGAACACACCTCAACAATATTATGTATCTTTGGTAATTGAGGTATTTTAAAGACGCCTTTAACTGGACTCCTAAAATGACAAAAAACACAAATGTAACAAATCTCGGTTCCTTTTAAAACTTATCGCCTATCACATGATATAGCACCAATATATAGTAATGTTTCAAATACTCATATTTTCACCGCCTAAGGGTGAAATTCAATGACATTCAAATTCACACTACAATGTCCCGACACCGGACGGGCACCATCTAACCTTAAGTTGAATCTTTGAAAAGCGAGCTTTCAATTGTGTTAGTAAGGTAAATATTTTAAATTAAAGTAAACATAGTATACGCCGCGGGGCCCGCGTGCTGGCCTTACGTTGTCCACTCCAGAGCGCCTGCGCTTTACTGCCGTCTAGGGATACAAATGACCAGATTTTCAAAAAAAAAGGCTTTCAGAAGCTGTCGAAGTCGTTGTACAGCACAAATGTTTAATAACTACTTTCTGCATCATTGGATAGGTGGATCCTAGGACTTGCCATAAAAGTAATGATTCTCCTGATGGCTTAGAGTATATCGATGTTCTTATATTATCCTCGTAACATCGATATTTATCTACCATCGATAAATATCGATGTTTAGAAGAAAAATATCGATGCTACGACCTCGAAAACATCGATGTTACGAGAATAATATAAGAACATCGATATACTCTAAGCCATCAGGAGAATCATTACTTTTATGGCAAGTCCTAGGATCCACCTATCCAATGTTGCAGAAAGTAGTTATTAAACATTTGTGCTGTACAACGACTTCGACAGCTTCTGAAAGCCTTTTTTTGAATATCTGGTCATTTGTATCAACAAAGGAACAGACTGAAGGCAAAATTCTGACAAAGTTACTTTTTCTGCCGACTTCAAAAAGGAGGAGGTACTCAATTCGACTGTATGTTTTTTTATGTGTGTTACCTTGTAGCCGGGTAGAAGGGAAAGGGGAGATCTCCTTTATCTCCTTGATCTCATTTTAATTTATCAGGTGGTAATGGTAGAGCCATGCTGCAACTATATTAGTAGTATAGTTGTAGCACGAATGGGTCGGCTCGACTGGGGAAAGGACCACGCTCTCACAGAATACTAGCGTAAAATAGCAGCTTAACACTGCTGTGTTTCGTATGGTGAGTGTAGAGAATCGGAGACCCTTTTTACTGGAAAAGAGGCATTCTATCTTAGTCCTCACGGGTGACAACGCATCTGCATTTTTATTCGCAAACGTGGATAGATGTAGATGTCTATGGGCCACAGCAACCACTTACCATCAGGTGGACTGTGTGCTCGTTGGTCACCCTATCCTATAAAAAAAGGGGCAAGACGAGCATGAAATAGGAGGACCTGGTGTAGTTCGAATGTGATGATGTTATGTGGAATGTTACGTTGCGTCCCAGCCGGACGTGTTATTTCTGGAAAATCGGCTAGAATATTATGGTACATCGTAACATACAAAAGCAATAACATACAAACAGTTGTGGTATTATCTACAAGGCGGTGATTACGACAATCTATAATTAAATTATATAAAGAAAGAAATTCTACACCAATAATAGCTTATGTTATATCGGCAACTACAAAACGCCATTTAAAGTCTCTACGAAGGCCAAGATCAAGAGTAAGGTGTACATAACCATACGTAAGTGTTGATGATACTCCCGTTGGCTGCGCAGAGTTGGTAGGTAGTCTTCGTACGTCGCTCAGGAAGCCATGCACGAGAGAAAACACAGAGGTCGACCCGTATCGACCAGGAACTGCATTTTCGATCTTCGGTCAGTGACAAAGAGACGAGCAGTAGAACTTGGGCAATCATCAGTCGCCATTAACGACTGCCCTTCGTGTTTCCCGCCTGGAAATCACATGGGCGAACACACCTTTTGGCGATGACACCGAATTTCGCATGGAACCAACATTTGCCTGCCTTGCATTTGATGTCTTCGATAGGAAGATGCTGATCGGGTCGATGATGAACGTCTACGATGCTCATGATATCTCGTGCGAGAGTGAGATCCCCGATGAAGGCTTGCTGTTAGGTTTTCCACTTGCTTTCTTAATTTTGCAATTTCTTTGGCCATCGAATCGTTGACCAAGGAGTTGGAGGTGCACAGTAACTTGTGGTAGCTACTTGAGGCAACGATATAGCAATGTCCTGGATTCTGTCCGCCATATCTGCTAATATCTCGAGCGAGGCGGTTGGTTGTGCTGCTAGAACTGTCTGGATGTTTGCTGGCAGTCTACTCGTCCACTTACTAAACTAACTTACGAACTCATCCGGAACGTTAGCTCCCGCTAGACTTTGCAGGTGTCGGAGAAATTGTGACGGTTGTCTGTCTCCGAGCTCTTCATGCATGAGCATTTGCTTAACCTTGCTTTCATGGGACGCACTCAGTCTTTTAATAAGCTTTGACTTAAGCTTTTCGTATTTATCACTAGAAGGAGGGTTCACAATAATGTCTTTTGTTTCCTTAGATACTTGATGTTCTAATTGGCCAATAACGTAATTGAATTTAGTAGAATCATTAGTTATTCCAGAAATCGCAAATTGTCCTTCTACCTGAGCAAACCAAGTCTCCGGTTCTTCTGGCCAAAATGGTGGATCACGAATCCCAACTTTGCAAATGTCGGAAGGCCCGACAGACGTGCTCATCGCTGTGCTCGCGTTGTTTAGCCATTATAGTATTAAATACGTATTCAGCTCGGGGTCACCAATTTAGCGAGATAAATAGTATATATAAATAAGTCCACAACACTGACAGTTAAAATTGTTAATTTAGTACAAACAAGCAGGAGATACACAATTTAGCACAAACATGCAGAAGATACACAAGCCAAGATAAGAGTTTATAATAAAAATACAGTCTAGGAAAAGCACAATGAATATTAACCGTAATAATTAAATGTCTAAGGCGTGAACAAACGATTAGCTATAGCGAGCAACGTGCGTTCCGCGTCGTATCGGTAGATCTACTGGTGAGCGGTGAGCGCAGTGCGCGGACGACTGACATGCCTGCCGCAGGGGCAATCTAGAGTGTAGGAGTGGGGATGACCCTTAATTGTGATGTGTGTAGGCAAGCAGGGACAATTTTTTAAGTCGGCCCTGCGGCAGGGCGGCAGGAGCGCAGTGTTGCAAAAGTTCCCGATTTATCGGGACTGATTTTAATTAGTATCCCCCGATATCCCGATTTAGCGAACGTATCTCCCGATTGTTTACATTTTCAACTAATGTAAAATAATAATCATAAATAAAATTTAAAAGTAATAATCAAAATACTAAAATGAACTTTTAACACAAAATCTATGTACGGGGACTTCCCGAAATTGCTCGCACCACGTCCTATGGGACCTATACCTATAACCTTATTAGGTTTTTAACTTCGCGGTATGGTTAAAGCATATTGCACTGATACATCTTAAAATAGAGTTCATTATTGTCTGATAAGTGTACGGGGGAGATACCTAAAGATTACTTTGTTCGGGTTGTTTTACGAATTAGGTAGCTTAGGCCATGTAAATATAGTGTTGTTCGTTTATAGAATTACATTCACTAATTACTATACATTTCTAAACCCATGAATGTAAATAAAAATCTCCCGATTTCTCCAGATTTTTAGCTGGCAAATCTACTGATTTTTTATTTTTCACTTTTGCAACACTGCAGGAGCGCAAGACCTTCCTTGCTTTGGCCTAAAGGTCTAGATGCCAGGCCATAAACTCCAAAAAAAAAAGACCTTCCTTGCTCCCTAGATCGGCCCTGCCGCTGTTGCGTGTGTAGCGCAATTGGGCCAATTTCGTTCAGTTCGTTTCGACTTTCGCGAGGAGCACACGTATGAGTACAAGTCAGAACCGCAGAAAGAACGTTATTTGAACGTTGTAACTTACAAGTAACATTACTGGGATTTGTTACCTAACTTATCATACGGGCTAGTATGGGAAAGTAAATATTCCAATAATATTAAAATTACTGGAATATAAATAAAATGTCATTAAATAAATATTAAAACAAAAATACAAATTTTAGTAAATAAATTTTATTAAAACCATCATTAGAAAACTATCCTGGCTATTTGTAACACTAGTGAAATTATAGTTACTAAGCACTAGATAGTTAAGTTATATCACAGAACAAAGTGGTATATAACCAATTTGTTCTGTGATATAACTTAACTTTATTTTACTTAATTACTTAACTTAAATTATGACGAGTAAAGTTAGTCATATTTAATTGTCTTTGATAGCCTAAAAATAGCGTGGCAGAGCTATGCTGCAGCTTCTAAGCACTATATTATGGTTGCAATTATTAATTAATTGGTTGTTTTATTGATAAATGTGGGTGTCTATAGGCCACAGTGTCCACTTACCATCAGGTGGACTGTGCTCATTTGTCACCCTTATTCTATATAAGAAAGAGCCAAGGCTATATATACTAATTCATTGATATTTCGATAAAACTGGTGCCATTTTCAACGCGTGCGTCCAGCGAGACGTACACTCTCATACTGAACGGCAGGCGTGTGTGTAGAGACAGCTCCGATATTGCTCCGATCGCGGTGCTTCCTAGATTGCCCCTGCGGCAGGCAGGTCAGTAGCCACCTTTAACGGAATTCCGGGCGGCGCGTTCAACGCCCGGCTGTTGCTACGTGCATTGTGTTGAAAGTATATAGTGGCGTGTAAAAGTATTGTATATGTTGAGTGTGAGAGAGTATCTGTGTAGGTTTGTGTGTGTGTATAATGTAGGAAAGTAGCCTACACCTCATAACGTTTTTCTGGGTGAACCGATTTCGATGATTCTTTTTTATTTAAAAGCTGGTGCTTCCCATGTGATCCTATATAAATTTGACCAAGGTCTGACCAATAGTATTTGAGTAATTCTTAATAATTTATATTGAAATCGGTTGTACAAAATTTTTAATTTTAAATTACTTGCGGTTCACATAAAACATACAGTTGAATTGAGGGATATACCATAATACTGGGAATGTTATTTTTTATAGTTAGCGTTGTAATAAATACATTAAATAAATAAAATAATCTTAGATGTTTATTTTGACACCTAAAACATTTTTTTTAGGTGTCAAAATAAAGATAGATATTTATCGTACTTCGATACTTCTGATTCGATGTTAACATCGATGCTAAAACGACTGGGCAGCTCGCAGGCCCCGCGTTGCTCACGCGTGGCGTCTTACTTCGTCGTCAAGTGCGATGTCTATGTGTGCTATGAATATGGCTATGAATGTCAAGTGAGACATTTCAAAAGCGACACCAGTTGATGCGACTCCTCTGTATATTGGTATGGTCTGCTATTGTTGATGACGAGCTGTAGTCTCGTGACTGTCCCTCGCTGAAAGCGCACTGTCCCCTCGTTGACGCCGCGCGAACTAAAAGTGGACGCCTGATCAACGCCGAGCTGGCAATTCGTCAACAGCGAGAGTTGAGGGAGTGCTGATTTGACCGGACCAGCACGTCCGGTGCAGAGGCGTTGTAATTTGCGATGATTCTGAATCGTCTCCCCAGATGCCGCCCTAGCCTTAGAAATCTCTTAAAATATGGCAACCACTACAGCGAGATTGCTTGACAAAATAACATGGACTAATTCCTAAGTCGAAACAGCTAGACAGCGGGCCTAATTTCGAACGTGACGGTCATTTTAAATCAGTGATTTCAATATCAACGCTTTAGAAAAACGTTTTAGTATAACCTTGATGAATTGATAAGATGGTTTTTTTTAAATGTAATGATGTTTTTAACATCAGAATTATGGTCAATCGTTAGCTTAATCACAATGAATAACCTCACCTTATTGATCTTAAGTAATGTGCGTGCATATCGGCTTCAGTGTGCGTGACATTATCATCACAAATGAAATCAATGATGCTTCCAACACTTTCGTCCGATAATTCATCGCCGCTGACACCTGCTCCATCGTCGGATAATTCTGCTTCTTCGTCCAAAAACTGATTTCTTCTTCTTTTCTTCTGAAAAACATACATATACGAGTTAACATACCGATAAAAGTATATAAATGTTGGGAAATATAATTAGTATTAAACTTACTTTTCGAACTTTGTGATTGGTTATTCTGCTGTCCATACTATCATCCGTAAGAACAGATTTATTCTTTCGACAATCATTAATTTCACCAATAAAGTCATCGTCGCTATCAGTAAAAGCAATTTGCCTTTTCGAATTTAATGGTAATTTACAACCATTTTCTTTTTTAGTTCCTCCACTCGGACTGCTTTTAACATCTCGCCTAAACTTCTGTAACATGTCTAAAGCGCTTTTTGTAATACTTTCCTTTTCTTCATCATTACTTTGATTTTCTGTATTCAACTTTAATGGACTTATGTTTTCTTTTTGTGATAATGAGCTAGGCGAGGTAAATGACAAGGCGCAATAAATATTGGAATTATTATTGGTTCTAGTGTTATTTACTTTATTTGCAGTTATAGCTGCTAATACTTTTGCTTGTAATGTAAGTGGTTTTTCCGCACTTTCATTTAATTTTTGTCTTTTGTTGAAATATGGCGATGCAGTCAGAACATCGTTATCTTCCATTTCAAATTTTCTCTTACAATTTGTTGGATGGATTTCTTGAGTTTCTTTTTTATGTGACTCGTTATTATTTTCACAAACATTTTCTGCTGCGTAAATTTGTGTATCTTCCTCAAAATCACTGTCACTATCTAAAATAATAAGGCTTTTGTTTGTAGCCGAATGAAAGGGAGTTAATTTATTTTTATTGAATTCGGAAGCATTTGAGATTTTACTTCTATCTGCCTGAGTCAACAGTATAGGTGAAGAGCTTCTTTCATTAACATTGGCAGGTATTTCGACCTCTTTTAAATCATTTGTAGATTCTCCTACAGGTTTTTCACATTCAGATCTATTTATCATTTCTACAAGTTGTGTGATAGTAAGCATACTTTTGTTACTAATGTTGGATAAATTAGTTGGTGCTGCAATGCCATTAGCAGCTTTCTGTTTACTTTCATCAATTACCGAAATACTATTTGTAAGATCCATTATTAACTGTTTCTTTGCAGTGCTTTTAGAAGATATGCGTTGTGGTTGCATTTTTTTTGTACTAAGTTGATATTTGCGAGCTTGGCTACAAAGAATGGGCGATGTCGGTACTTCTATCTTCTGTCTACCAGACAAAATAGAGGGGCTTACTGGTTGTAATGTAGTTGAAAATTCGTTAATCGTTTCCACCTTTTCGGGTTTTTTGATTTCGCTTCTAGCTTGTGACTTATCTTCACTACTTTCATCATAGTCCGCAAATATGTCTTCTATACTATCTAGCCCAAAGAATTCTAATGTTTCTTTAGGTGCACTAACATTTTTGTCTATAACCTTATTTTGGTTTTGTTCAACTAACATTTCTGGACTACTCTCTGCAAAAATGTCTTCGATGTCGCCAATGTCAAAATTTTCATCTGGAATTTTTTTCCCATCTTCAGCATTTGTATTATGATCTTCGATCAGCACATCACATGCTTCCGGTAAATCTACTCTTTTAATAAAATGATCATTTATATTGTTTTGACTACCAAAGCCTTGGATCTTGTAATCAATATTTTGATCATAATCGTTTGTAATACTTTCATTTATAGATTTTGCACACTTTAATATCGCGTCAGCTTTGACATCATCTAGTAACCTAATGTCAGGTAACCTTAATGTGTTATTTAAATCCACTATTCTTGTTGGCTTCGTTTTTATTTTTCTTATATTTTGTATTAATGAACATTGACATACGTTAAGGCAAATGTAACAGTTTTTATTAACATTAGCATTCTCTAAACTGAGATCGACTAACAAATTAATCATGCGTGTGGACAGATACCCCTCGTTTTGAACGCCTAAATCGTTTATTAACTTTGTATAGTTCTTAGTGGATTTCGTCGAAGCACTAAATAATGCTCTGATATCACCATCTCTTTTTATTGGTGATTTTATAGAATTCTTCTGTTTTTTCTTCGTAAGTTTATTTTTAACTGAATTTTGAGGCATTAAATCCTGAGTTAGAAAGGCTGTAAGAGACCATATTTTTATTGTCCATGTACCAAAGTTCTTAAATATAACAATAAATTTATTCTTCTTACCAGGATGTTGAGTTGATGGGGGCAACTCGAATCTCTTAGCATCGGAATATTGTAAGAGTTCTGTTAAAACTTCTGAATCTCTCGAATGGCTAATGTTGACTGTTTTTTGTAAAGTTCGCTGCCATTCTAGCCACGATATAAGTTTAAGATTGTCATTTTTGTTCAATTTTACGATCGTATGAAACGAATCTAAAGTTGAAACAAGAAAATAAATTCATTAATTCTTTGTCATATGAGATTACTAAATAATTTAATCAAATCAGAAAAAAATCCAACAATGATTTCACTTCTTCTGGAATGTATATATAAAGTAATATCGTTTTCCTAACAATTTAGTATATCCATTATATTATTGTAACTATGAATTGACCGATACATATTTTATATTATTTTTATTTTTATTAAGAATCGACAACTTCAACTAGTACACATTATTTATAATTGTTAATTGTTTGTATACATTATGTATATGTTATAACATATAATTGGTTAATTTTCTATATACATAATGTATATAAAAAATTTACCAATTAAAGTTGGGTAATTCTACTTCTGATATTATTTACGAATATTTTTATAGAGCGGGAAGTGCTCTTCTAACTAGTTCAAACAAGTCATTATTTTTTAATTAAATTTTAACACCTTGAAGGCAAATAGACGGAGGCCTATGTTCAGCTGTGGACTTTTATGGACTGTAATGAATGAACGAATAAGTATTTAGAACTTTTTATATTTTAGGTTGTACTTAACTTATTGAACATGGTTTAAACAAGGGTTTTTTTTTTTAAATTAATTGGAGGTGTCCATTGATTGTAGTAGATTCAGATCGTCTGTTAGCTTGTTTGTTACTGTAAAACCACCCTTATCATCATAATTACAAAATATTCCATTCCTAAACATACGCCTTCCTAGATTGCCACAAAGTATGATCGAAGAACCGACAACCGATGGGGAAGAGTTCCTCTAGTGGAATCCTCTTACCGGTTGGCGAAGTGTAGGGCAAACCTCCACTAGATGGAGTGACGACCTGGTAAGAAATGCGGGAACTCGATGGATGCAGGTGGCTCTGGACCGTGCTTTGTGGCATTCCTTTGAAGAGGCCTATGTTCAGCAGTGGACTTGTGAAGGACTGTAATGATGATGATGATCGTGAGTCACCTGTATCTATTGACTACCATTGTATGATTAGGTCGTCACTATATGTGATGGGGGTCATTAAACACTGTACTTGCTAGACGAACCTGCATTTGAGAATCTTTCTTAAGGTACAATTCCGTACACACATTCCGTACAGGCGACGTGTCGTCGCGACACTACTGGTTTCTATGTAGTTCTATGAAATACCTTCCGTAGCTAGCGACACGTCGTTTGCCGCTACGGGCCAGACGACATGTCGCCCGACCGCAGATCAGTAGTGCCGCCAACGCCCGAGCGACAACACGTTGAATTTTTCTCAAAAAATGAGTTTCACCGATTCCGAGGAGGAGAAACTGATAAACCAGGTGGCCCAATATCCCGCACTGTACGATGCATTTCACAATAATTATTTAAATAGTATGATAAAAGATAATATTTGAAAAAATATAGGAAAGGAGTAAAATAACAGCGGTAAGTACCATTTTATTTACATAAACAGAGAATCCACACAACATTCGGAACAGATTGGAACACGGGCTGCTGCCGCCTGCAGGCGGGTTCGGAATCATAACTGCAGCGCCATGACGCCACGGCATGTCGCCTGCTGCTGCCGCCTGCAGTCAGCTACGGAATTGTACCTTTACCCATCTGTAGTCGGTTCTTCGAGCCCGGACCATTGCCACTTCAGCCTACTGATCCACTGTGCTATGTAACTTAAATAAACAAAAACATAAACATTATTTACCTTTATTTAAACACCAATATTCCATTGGTTTGGATATAGAATCTGTACAGGGATGCCCACATGGAAATAATTCTTTGAATTCCTCTTCAGTAAGTAAAGTACTAGGACTGCTTGTGGATGGTCGTCCCATAAGCATGCTCCTTAAATCCTTTTGACCCTGAATTAAGATACAAAAGAAATCCAAAGGTCTTTAAATGACTATATAATTTCTAGAAATTAGGAAGATGAGACCATCTATTTATAAATTACTACATCATAAAAATTTAATTTTTTACTTATAGTCTTTAAACTTAGCTCATTTTTTATTTTATATTAAATTAGGTCTAGAATTAAATATATGATGTTTTATGTTGATTACAATATTATGATGTCATTTATGACATCATAATATTGAGTTATATTGAGTTTAGATTTAGTTATTCCCATAAGATTTGTAATTTGTTAAATGTTGTATTTTAATTGACATTTAACTACCCACCACTTTACAAGTTTCTTGGTGCTTCCACGATGCTAACAAGTGTAAGAACGAGTATTGTTTCCCGTACAAGATGTTACCCTAAACTTATTCTTCCACTAAAATGTGAGTAAACAGCCTACAAAAGTCCCACATACGGTCTATCATACTCTCACAGATCAAGTGCGTGTTAATATATTTTACATGTCCTAGAAATTATTATAAATGTTTTGTTCTGCTATGTACTCTTATTGTGCGGGACAAGAGAAAAACAAATAGTGATACATAAATAAGACAAAAACATTTATATTAATGGAATAAATATTATATAGTTAGTTTGTACTTAGATAGGATAAACATTTATATTAATAGAGATTATAGTTTAGATAGGATATAAGCATTTTATGTTAAGAAAATAATAGTGTAGAGCTTATATTTGTGTAATAAAATTAGTTGGTCACTTTGTATAACAGAACTAGCTTAAGGTAAACAATGTAAACAATGACTCAGTAAGATATAGAACTAGCTTAAGACAAACAATGTAACGGGACTCAGCATCGTCACTTGCTCTGTCACGCCTCGCGCTGATTGGTCGACGCCATTTGTACGATGCGTCGGCCGTATCCATTGACCCAGCCCGAGGCGGTATAAAAGAGGGGCGATTTTCGTCGTTCGACACAGTCGGCGGCCAGCTACCTCAAGGAAAACACCAAATATAGAAGAAAGAAAAATATCACAGCGGTTTTATTCTCCACCAATCCAGCACACAAATGTGCCTGTAGGGCACATTTAATGGTCCTTCGAGCCGGATCTTGTGGGGAATAATTACCTGAAGAAAAATAATTAAGAAGACTCCTCGGAAATCGTTTTTCAAGACTCAAGATTATTCGAAGAAAAAGTCAGCTAACAGCATGGCCGTTACGCGCTCTGAGGGAAGGGGCAGCAAGCCGTCGTCGTCCAAGGCTACCACCTCGGCGACCGGTACCACCAGTGCGGAAGCCAGTACGGAATCAACAGCTACAGGGACGACCGCCACGGAGACTTCGGAGTATACAGACACCTCCGCGGCGACTGATCCATCCACCGTGACTTCCGCCACCGCAGCGACCACTTCGTCCGCCGCCACCTCAGCCTCAGCCGCAACCGCCGCCCCCGCCACGCACCCCGCCAGCGCCGTCGCTCCTTCCGTAACACCATCCGCGGCGACGACACTAACTGCGGGTGCGAAGGCCAAACAGCTGATGAAGCCGCCCGCTACTGTCACCAGAGCAACTCACCGAGAAACAGAAACTTCTACAGTGAAGCGAGCCATAAGAAGCACCGCCGGTCCATCAAAGCAAACCGGGCTACAGGAACCCCGCCCGCCCAGCAAGAAGGGAGGTGGAGGGGGATCTACACGCAGTAGAACGAAGCAGCTCAAGCTTGCAAAGGCGAAAGAAGATTTACTACGCCTTCAAGTGGAATTAGCCGCAGCACGCCTTGCTGCCTTAGAAAGGGAAGACTCAGAAGAGGAGGAGGAAGAACAAGATGACGCATCCCTCTACTCAAGATCAGAAGTCAATACAAGAGTGGACGACTGGTTGGAGAATCAAGTGAATCGCCCGGTGTTAGCAATCACCAACGAACCTCACCAGGCCATAGAAGAACCAACAGCCGCCCACGCAGAAGAACCAAGGCACGAAGAAACACATCAGTCACCGGCGGGAGGTCAAACTGACGTAGCCCTCCTGGCTGAAGCCATCACTCGGGCTGTCAGCGCCGCCCAACGACCTAAGTTCGTCGAGTTACCATTCTTCAGCGGGTCGCATCAGGAATGGCTACCCTTTCGCGCCGCCTACTACGAGACAGAAGCGACATTCAGCGTAGTTGAAAATACGAATCGACTCAGAAGAAACTTGAAAGGGAAGGCCAAGGAAGCAGTTGAAGGCCTACTTATGACAAACGCACACCCGGCTGAAGTAATGAAGACTTTGGAGTCAAGATTTGGAAGACCAGAGTCAATAGCCATGCTGGAGATGGAGACGCTTAGAGGTCTGCCGCGCCTTACTGAGTCACCAAGAGACATATGCATATTCGCCACCAAGATCTCCAACGTAGTGGCGACACTGAAGACTTTGGGTTGTTTTAACTACATGTACAATCCTGAACTCGCGAAGACAATAGTAGACAAACTGACGCCAACTCTGCGTTATAGGTACTACGACTTCTCAGCCATGCAGCCACGTGAAGACCCTTGCCTCATCAAGATAGAGAAGTTCTTCAAAAGGGAAGCAGAACTGTGTGGACCCTACGCGCTACCCGAACAGATGACACCGCCTATTACAGCCGCACCACAAAGGAAGACTCAAAGGATCAACAACGTGACTGAGAAGACATACATACCAAGATGCGTCGTATGTGAAGATACGGGGCACACCAACGCCACAGAATGTGAACAATTCAAGAAGTTAGATGCAAATGCAAGATGGGACATGGCCAAGTCCAAGCGCCTCTGCTTCAGGTGTCTTCGCTATAGGAACAAGACACACCACTGCCGACCCAAGCCATGTAATGTCAACTGCTGCAAGTACTCTCACCACAAGATGCTGCATTACGAAAAGAAGTCAGAAGATTCAGAAGCAAAAGAAAATCAAGGGGCAACAGAGGTCATCAACTCAACCTGGACCGTCAAGAAGCAATCATACTTAAAAATCCTACCGATCCAGGTCAAAGGACCAAAAGGAGCTGTCAACACCTTCGCGTTGATGGACGACGGCTCAACAGTCACGCTCGTCGACGATAGTATAGTAACAAGCGTCGGAGCAACGGGCCCCATAGACCCACTGAAGATAGAAACCATCAACGACAAGAAAGTATCGGAGTCAGCATCGAGGAGAGTCACCATCAAACTAAAGGGGCTCAACGATCATGAAGAACAAATACAAGCACGCACAGTGAAGAACCTGCAAGTCTCATCTCAACGGGTCCCACAGGATCTAGTGGAGGAGTGTCAACACCTCTCTGATATCCAAGGACATCTCGCATATGCAAACGCCAAGCCACGAGTGCTGATCGGACAAGATAACTGGCATCTTCTGCTGACATCGGAAGTAAGAAAAGGAGACAAGAACCACCCAGTGGCATCTCTCACGCCACTAGGTTGGGTACTCCACGGCAGCCAGACACGAAGCTTCGGACGGAACATCGATTTCGTGTCACACATCGTAGAAGATCCAGAGGAGAATCTAGAAGACCTCGTGAAGCGATACTTCGAGATGGACGCACTTTGTATAAAGCCCAAGAGACCGAAGACTGATCCAGAAGAACAAGCACTTCGTATCTTGGAAAGGACCACAACGAAGACAGAAGAAGGAAGATTCCAGACCGGTCTTCTCTGGCGCAAAGACGATGTCAAGTTACCAGACAATTACGAAAACTCGCTGAAGAGGCTCTTCAACATAGAAAAGAAGATCGATCGTGACCCCACGTTAAAGAAGAAATACGTGGAACAAATGAACGCTCTCGTCGCAAAGGGGTACGCCGAACCCGCCCCAAAACAGAAGACAGCTGACAAAACTTGGTACCTACCTCACTTTGCAGTAGTCAACCCAATGAAACCGGAGAAATTACGGGTGGTACACGATGCCGCAGCCAAGACCAAAGGGGTGGCACTTAATGACATGCTACTCAAAGGGCCCGACCTACTACAATCGCTACCAGGTGTCGTCATGCGCTTCCGACAACACATGATCGCGGTTACGGCGGACATCAAAGAGATGTTCATGCAAGTCAAGTTGCGAGAACAAGACAGGGACGCACTGCGGTACCTATGGCGTGGGATTCGACGAGACAACCAACCTCCGGAAGAGTACAGAATGACATCATTAATTTTCGGAGCATCGAGTTCGCCTTCGACAGCAATATACGTCAAGAACCTAAACGCCAAACAGCACGGGGAAACTCACCCAGAAGCCGCAGCGGCCATCATAATGAAGCATTACGTCGACGACTACTTGGACAGCTTCAGAACCCTCGAAGATGCCAAACGCATCACGAAGAGTGTACGAGCCGTGCACATGAAAGCCAGCTTCGAGTTGAAACAGTGGAAATCAAACTCAGCATCACTCCTAGAAACACTTGGAGAAGACAGCCAGACAGAAGACATGGAACTCTACAAAACAGAAGAAAAGATGGAACGAGTTCTGGGTGTTGTTTGGAAGATCCACTCGGACGAACTCACCTTCAACCTCAACTTAGCCAGAATACCCTCAACACTCCTAGAAGGGAAGCAGCCGACGAAAAGGGAAGCACTGAGAATAGTGATGTCGCTCTTCGACCCGCTCGGATTCGCCTCGCCTATCACCATCAGGGCAAAACAACTCCTCCAGGAAGTCTGGCGTAGAGGAACAGCATGGGACGACAAGATCGACGAAGACCTGGCAGAGCAGTGGAAAATGTGGATGGAGCATCTGGAAGGCCTCCACGAAATAGCAATCCCGCGACAATATCTTCACTACAGTGACGCGGCCTCCCTAGAACTCCACGTCTTCAGCGATGCCAGCGAGTCAGCTTATTCTGCGGTCCTCTTTTGGAGAGCTGTAACAGCAGTAGGCGAGGTCCACCTATCCCTTATTGTGGCGAAAGCAAAGGTGGCACCGTTAAAACTGACGTCCATCCCAAGATTGGAGCTACAGGCAGCAGTCATGGGCACCAGGCTCGCAGAAACAGTAGTCGAAGAACACGAGAGGAAACCTGACCGCAAAGTATTGTGGACAGACAGCAAGACAGTACTAACCTGGATAAGGACAGGGTCACGTTCATATAAGCCCTACGTGGCTCACCGTCTAGCAGCAATAGAAGAGAGTTCCAAAGTTAACGACTGGCGCTGGGTTCCGACAAAGCTGAACGTGGCGGACGACGCCACACGAGACGTACCAGCAGCATTTAATAAAGAACATCGATGGTTCAAAGGGCCTGACTTCTTATACCTAACAGAAGACTTCTGGCCGACAGAAACCACAAGAGCAACAGCGGAAGAACCTTCCGACGAAGAAAGGACACATTACGTGAGCAACAAAAGAAGATTGAGGCTTGCCGAAGGTCTACCTGATCCAGCGAAGTTCTCCAACTGGGACCGACTCCGATACTCAACCGCACGTGTTCTACAGTTCATTCAACTCTGCAGAAACACCAAACAGAGAGTCAACTACAAACGAACAAAGAAGAATAAAGAGGCTGATCCCACTTGGAAAAAGAACAAAGCTACAGTGAAATATCAGGCGCACATGACGACGAAGAAGCGGTCGCCAGAAGACATAAAGCCGCTAATGGTCTCAGCCGAGCTGCTTAAGACAGCTGAAGAGCTTCTGATGCGATCCTCCCAAGAAGAATCCTTTGCGGAAGAAATAGACAGCCTAAACAGCGGGAAGCCGATCAATAAGGAGAGCCGCCTTCGCCAGCTCAGCGTCGAGTCAATAAACGGCACACTACGACTTAGAAGTCGTATTCGAGCAGTCTGCGACATGGAGGAAAAATTCAAGAACCCGTTGATAATTGACGGTGATCATCACACAGTCAAGCTCTGGGTGCAGGCTATACATCGGCAACTCCATCACGCCGGTGTAGAAGCCACAGTTAACGAGTGCCGGCAGCAGTATTGGGTACTGAGACTGCGCCCTATCGTACGCACAATACTACGAAAATGCCTATTCTGCAGAATGAAGACGCAAGTACCGCCGCATCCGAGAACCGGGGACCTGCCAACGTGTCGCTTAGCTCACCACAAGCGCCCCTTCACCTACACCGGGGTGGACTATTTCGGACCTCTTTCGGTGACCGTCGGACGAACTCGACAAAAGAGATATGTGGCCATTTTTACATGTCTCACTACGCGAGCCATACATCTAGAAGTTGCCGGCTCACTTAGCGCTGACTCCGCGGTAATGGCCATAAGGCGGATGATCGCACGGCGAGGCTGCCCGACAGAAATATGGTCAGACAACGGCACCAACCTGAAGGCAGCCGATAAGGAACTACGACAGGCGGTCGACGCAGCGACCGCAGAAGAAGCAGCAAAAAGGACTATCTCCTGGCGCTACATCCCGCCTGGAGCTCCATTTATGGGCGGAGCCTGGGAGCGAATGGTTCGCTCCGTCAAGACCGCTCTTATCGCGACGTTGCACGAACGTCATCCGACGGAGGAAGTCCTCACGACACTACTGGTAGAAGTGGAATACACCGTCAACAGCCGACCGCTGACTCACGTCTCAGTCAGTCCAGAGGATCCCGAAGCTCTCACTCCTAACCACTTCTTGTTGGGAGGACCGGGACGAGTACCACAGCTAGGCACTTTCACCGAACGAGACGCCCTCTCACGGTCAAGTTGGCGAGCCGCGCAGAGGCTAGCCGACACCTTCTGGTTACGCTGGGTGAAGGAGTACCTCCCTGAGCTTCAACACCGGCGGGAGCCCCACGGACAAGGCCAAGCAGCACGCGTCGACGACCTCGTACAGATCGTCGATCCCAACCTGCCTCGCAACGTGTGGATACGAGGAAGAGTCATCGCTACATATCCGGGTCCCGACAACGTCGTGCGGACTGTGGACGTGCTAACTAAGGGAGGTGTCCTACGCCGGCCAGTAAGGAAGCTTGTGATCCTGCCTCTATCTACGGACGTCGAGCCCGCACCGGAAGCTGATGCGACGCGGTCGCACGGCGGGAGTGATGTGCGGGACAAGAGAAAAACAAATAGTGATACATAAATAAGACAAAAACATTTATATTAATGGAATAAATATTATATAGTTAGTTTGTACTTAGATAGGATAAACATTTATATTAATAGAGATTATAGTTTAGATAGGATATAAGCATTTTATGTTAAGAAAATAATAGTGTAGAGCTTATATTTGTGTAATAAAATTAGTTGGTCACTTTGTATAACAGAACTAGCTTAAGGTAAACAATGTAAACAATGACTCAGTAAGATATAGAACTAGCTTAAGACAAACAATGTAACGGGACTCAGCATCGTCACTTGCTCTGTCACGCCTCGCGCTGATTGGTCGACGCCATTTGTACGATGCGTCGGCCGTATCCATTGACCCAGCCCGAGGCGGTATAAAAGAGGGGCGATTTTCGTCGTTCGACACAGTCGGCGGCCAGCTACCTCAAGGAAAACACCAAATATAGAAGAAAGAAAAATATCACAGCGGTTTTATTCTCCACCAATCCAGCACACAAATGTGCCTGTAGGGCACACTTATGTCATTTGTTTCATCTCTAAACAACTGGTAAGTCAGGATAATTTTTGCCGGCACTCATTTTGCTAGCAAACTATAAAATTTAAGGATGTTGTGGTACGATGGAGAACTCATATCTCTGGAGAAGGGTATCGCACTAAATCACATTCTTCACGTCATTTTAAATATTATTTAACTCTTCACAAGTTTACTGCTGAATGTAGGCCCTCCATAAGGAATGCTACAAAATACGGTCCTGAATCACCCGCATCCATCGACTTCACTAGTTACTAGGTTGTCACTACATCTAGTATGACCAGCCCGTTGCCACTTCAGCTTACTAATCCTATGGGCTATGCCGGTTATGTTAAAATTAAATTTAACATCATTAATATAATGGTTTCGAAAACGTAACGTCCGGTTCTATTAATTTAAATTGTCAGACGTCTGGAAGTGACGTCTTAAAATTCCATTAAATTCATACAATATAGAGCCGTGTTGGCTCAGATTATTAGCGCTCGCTGTAAGTTTCACAGTACGTGAGCAACCCGGTTTCGATCCTCGCCGGTACCAATGAAATTGTTAACTTCAATTTTAAGTGCTGATTTACCACGTGCTCGGCGGTGAAGGAAAACATTGTGAGGAAACCTGCATGTCAAAAAACATGTTTCGAAGACATGTGAAGTTCGCCAACACGCATTGATATTTCCTTGCCCTAAAACCCTCTCAGAAATGAGAGGAAACCTGTGTCCAGCAGTAGGACGTATATAGGATGTAACTTTACTTTTTTTAACATACAATACATACAGGTGAAGCTAATAAAAGGTAGTTAAAAAAGACGACGAACTTCATCCATGATACAGGAGAAATTCCTGATACCTAGAAAATACCTAAAAATATAAATAGAAAAACCTAAAGCCGACGTGCCGCCGGCGTTTTTAGCCGCGGCTAGTACGGTAATGGATTTTAAAGTTGTTACCACATGGCGCACTTTGTATACAAATTTACTAACATTATGAATCCGATATTGTAGAAATATATTCTTAAAGAATAAACTAACAACTCATGGCATTTACCTTTTTAACTTTCTCAGCACCATCTTTAGATTTTTCCTTTGGATCGGACTTTTGTGCAACGGTTATGTACATTTTCTGACATTCAGGTATGAAGTCATGTGGCACCATCCTTGGATTCGACTTGTATAGGTTGGCTTGCACCTCTTTTGATTGTAATATTTTTTTATTAAGACCGTCTCTCTGGCGCATACAATCCATTAAGGTCTGCAATCAGAAGCCAAAAATTTACGATAGAATATTAAAACAGACGAAGTCTTTGTAATGTGAAATATCATGAATTAAAAGAGTTTAATAAACAATATTTACCTGATGCTCTCTACCTTCAGTGACTAGAATAAAAACTTGCCCACCTCGTTCTCTTCCAGTGCGGCCGCATCTTAAAAACAAGATATGTTATACGTTTTCACAACCTTATCTTTATGTAATATATTATGTGAATAGCTATAATAAATAAAAAATTATGATTGGTAAACATCATGCATGTTTTAGTGACAAAACTTTAAGTGTTGAAAACTTTATTTTAGTCGTATTGTTATTAGAAATATATATAATAACGACAATTGAATACAGTAATAATATAGTAAAAATAATATATTTTTGTTCTGATGAACTACTCTCACGATTATGACCATATTAATCCACAGCTGTACGCTCTTCACCGGCGGATTATAAAGATAGTTTAAAACAGTAACAGTAAATCATATTTCTATGACTGTATTGCCTGACAGAAAACATGACCAAATAATTAATTGCGAAAACGTTACCAAATAATTAGTAGATAATCATTTCTCTTACACAACTGCTTTGATCCTTTACTTTGATAATATTAATTAGATTATAGTTTCGATTAAAGTTGCTGATTACGGGAACGAGCCTGTAGCTGCTTAAAATGTTTGTTAAAAACATTTACTTCAAGTACAAAATAATTATTTTGTTATCGATACTTGTGCATTTATAAAACCACGTGTGATTTATGGGAAGTACTGAATGCGCGTGCATAATGTACAATGTAGACACAAAATATTTATAATAAAATTTCCTTTTCAATACAATGTGAAACAGTTTTCTTTAACAAAATTCGGCTAGGGCTTAATTAACCTAAGGACAAAGTAAGCAACTGCCTGTGGCGTCCGCGTTGCATGATGGCCCAGCGGTCTTAAAATAAATTAGTGCTGATGACCTTCAAACGGCTGAACAGATTTTTTTGAAACATAGCTACGAATACTCACGATTAAGACACCTTTCGAAAGAAAAAAAAAAACTAAAAAAGTCAGACACGCTACAATCCTATTCACATCCTTTAGTTTTCGTTGGCGGTTAAAAAATATTTTAACGTGATATAGGACATTGAAAAAAGGGAGAGACTCTACATGACTTAATCTGAAGCTGGATACTGATCAGGAAAAATTAATGTGTTTATTTCACGTAATATAAGATTGCAGGTAGGCTCATGAGACGTTAGTGGTGTTAGAGAGACGAGGCAATCATAACTCTCACTAGTACTCGACAGTCAGGTACTCTGACCACTGAATAGCCGTTTAATATTCTTTTCAATGAAATAATGATAGATAGTTAAGAAAGTTTTTAAAAGTTATTAACTTCCGTAATTCTAATAACTGATTATGTTTATTTACTTCTTACTAAGAATATTGACGCCTATGGCCTACACAGTAGTCTGTGTGTCTGTTGTGTGCAATCTATATATATATATAAATAAGCTATGTTTGTTGTGGCACTCGCTTACCTCTGTACCAGACGAATGGGAGACCGCGTGGAGATATCGAAACACAGGATGAGGTCTACGGAACCGACGTCAAGTCCCTCCTCCGCGACGCAGGTGGCGACCAGCGCGTTGCAGTCGCCCGCGCGGAAGCTGCGCATCACTCGCAGCTGCTGCTTTTGAGATACGACCGTTTTGCCATCTTTGCCTAGAAGTAAAAGTAATTTGTTGTTGTGTAGGGGGATGAGTCGCTCGCGTCCATAGGCTTCGACCACCTAACCCTAGGCCCACCCTACACGTGTCCCCCGGGTGGTGCTAAACGAGCAACAAAGCTGAAACGATAGACTCGGCTCCTCGCCGTGTGGTAGCGGCGTAAAATCTACCACCCCTTATGTCGCACCATGAGCCAACAATTAAAAGAAATGGCCCCGAGTTCCCGGCGCCCCTTTAATGGAGCAGGGGTGCGAAGAATCTCCGGGAGGAAAACCGGCGACGAGGTTCACCACCCGTCACGTCCTGTCTCCCGGAGGGGTGAAAAGTGGATTGCGGAGGCCCGTCTGGCTACGCTGAATGTATGTGGAGCAATGAATGATAAGATGGATGAAATATGCGAAATGATGAATGATAGAGGAATAGATGTGTTATGTGTGAATGAGACGAAACGAAAGGGAAGAAATGTCACTGCACATGGCATGTATACCGCTTACTGGTCTGGTGTAGACGAGACCGAGCGGGCATGCCAGGGAGTCGGTGTCATCCTTTCAGAAAGAATGGGTCAATGTGTGAAAGAGTATGAATGTGTAAGCCCAAGGCTGCTGTGGATACGAATGAAAGGCTTAAAGAAGTTGTTTGTGCTAGGGGTGTACGCCCAGATATGTCTAAGCCCACTTATATCCGAGAGCAGTTTTGGGACATGGTAAGGCTGGTGTTGACGAAATGTAAGGAAAATGAAAATATTATTATGTTAGGAGATTTTAATGGAAGGGTTGGGGTGAAGAGGTCTGGTTATGAAAGGATATTAGGAGCGTTTGGCTAGGAAAGAATAAATGAGAATGGTGAAGACCTCCTCACCATATATGTGGAAAAGAATCTTTTTGTAGCGAACACTTTCTTTCGCCATAAGAGGATTCACATGTATACTTGGGAAAGAGGGGATGATAGAAGCATGATAGATTTCATAATTGTGGATGATAGAATGAGGAGCGCAGTGGTAGATACAAGGGTTTACCGTGGGTCCAACTTAGGGACGGATCATTGCTTGGTCTTATGCCGAATTAATGGTCTATTCAAGCGTTGGCGGCATCGGATATCTGTGTCTACCACTGCGTTACAGCGTATAAGAATAGAGAGGTTACAAGATGAAGGTGTGAAAGAGAAATATAAATGCAGACTGAGGGAAAATATAAGTGTGTTGAATGAATTATGTATGAATGATTTAGACTTGAAGAATGTATGGAATAATGTTAAGAAAGTTTTGGTGGATACAGCCACCGAAGTATGTGGTGTAAGTAAGAGAACGAATGAAACGAAAAGTAATACGTTGTGGTGGGATGATAAGGTACGGATGGAAGTTGAAGCAAAGAAGAGGGCATGGCTAGATTTACTAACAACCAAAGCTGATAATTCTGGCGGTATGAATGATGAGATTGAAAGAAAAAAGGCAGACTTTAGACGTATAAATAAGAGAGTAAAAGAAGTTGTTGAAAGGAAAAACAAGAAAGGATAGATAAGAGTGATAGAAGAATATCTGATAACTTCCAGGCAAATATTAAAATGTTCTGGAAGTTCGTAAGAACTGCCAGGGGTAATTCAAAACAGCCTAGAATGAATGCTGTACGAGACGAGAATGGCTGCATGCTGAATGATGAAGTTTCGAATTTAAAGAAATGGAAGGAATACTTTGAAAGCGTGTTTAAGAGTGAAGAGTCGTCTGAAGTAAGTGAAATAGAAATTCCGGAAGAAGTGGAGAGAGGTAGGGAGATAAGTGAAATAATGGAAAACAATAAAAAGCATGAAAGCAGGTAAGGCAGCCGGATATGATAGAGTATCACTCGAAACGCTAAGAGCTGGAGAGGGTGTGGTTGCAGGCCTGCTGCACCTTGTTTAATTTATGTCGGGAACTGAAGCGGTTACCGGAAGACTGGTAAACTGGCAAAGCCGTTATAGTCCCAATATATAAGGGAAAGGGATCGCAGCAGGACTGTAAAAACTACCGTGGTATTAGCTTGCTTAGCATTGTGGGTAAACTGTATGTTAAGGTGTTAATTATAAGAGTTATGGAAGAAACTGATGGAAAAATTTGGGATGTGCAAGCGGGATTTAGAAAGGGAATGGGATGTACGGATCAGGTCTTTTCCATGCGCATGATCGCGGAGAAGTTTTTGGCCAAAAACCAAAAAGTTTTTTGTGCGTACATGGACTTGGAAAAGGCTTATGACAGAGTGGACAGGAACGTGTTATGGCAAACACTGACCTCATTTGGGTTGAGCGCTGGTCTGATACAGGCATTAAAGTCTCTTTATAGGGACTCTAGTACTTGTGTCAGGATCAACGGGGCCTACTCGGACTGGTTTGGCATTTAAAAAGGTGTCAGACAGGGTTGTGTAGCTTCTCCGTGGCTGTTTAACCTATTTATGGACAGTTGTTTGCAAACTTTGAAAGTTGAAGAATGTGGGTTGAGAATGGGTGAGTTAACCGTCAAATGCCTTTTGTACGCCGATGATCAAGTCATATTTCCATCGTCGGCGGCCGAGTTGCAAATGATGGTTAATTTAATGAACTGGTCATTAAAAGAAAGGGGTATGAAAGTGAACGCAAGTAAGACGAAAGTAATGGTTTTTGAAAGAGAAGAAAGTAAAACGTTATGTGAAATAAGAATAGAAGGGAAGCTGATTGAGAAAGTGGATGAGTTTGTATATTTGGGATGTTTATTTAGCAGGGATGGTAGATATGATAAGGATATAGAACGACGAGTGAACGCAGGAAATAGAGTGAATGGGGCTCTAAACGCTCATATGAAGAGTCAGAATGTGTCAAAGAAGGCACGTATGGCAATTCATAATGGTATGTTAGTACCTACTTTAATGTATGGTAGTGAAAGTTGGGTATGGCAGAAGAAGCATGAGAGTAGAATAAAGGCTGTAGAAATGCGGTCATTACGGAGTATGCTAGGGCTGAATCTGAATGACAGGGTGAGAAAAAGTGTGATAAGAGAAAAGTGTGGTTTGCAAGATGACGTTGTGACTAGGATTAAAAAAGGAATGCTTCGGTGGTTTGGTCAAGTAGAAAGAATGAACGAGGAAAGAGTGACAAAGCAAAGGACATTGCTCTGCGTCCATACATTGTTCGCCCTGGAACCAAGAGCATCGAAAAATGATGTATTTTATTGTTGATCATTAGTAAATTCCTATTTGATCTTATTTTTATAGCGGACTAGCTGCATAATAGATATATTTCAAAAAAAAGTATCAGATTTTGAGGTTATAATCGAACCATGAATATTACGGTTTTTCATAGATCCGAGTGATTTTTAACAAACTGAAAAACGATGTCTTAAAACATTTAGCTATTTCTAGTACCTATCTACATAATTAGGCATGCAATTTTTGTTCTAAAGCCTAAGTGTATGTAAGTGCAACGTATACCTAAATGCATAGAATTTAGTTAACAAACCTGCTTTCTGAGCATTGGTTTTGAAATGAGAGATGTTTTTGTGTATTAATGTAAAAAAAATATATGTATATGGCTGTTAGCATTTAGATGTTGTCATTAGCATATACGGTACGGTAAGATACCTAGTACCTAAATGTATAAGGATTTAGGCTGTCAGTCACGCCGCTAGACATACCGTCGAACAGCGAGCGTATCAACCACGGTTTCAACCAAGTTTCAACAGCGCGCGCATGAACAGCGTGAATATTATAGACTACTGTCTAGTACATTTGCAAGCGTGTGCGTCTGGACGGCGCTTTTCAAACGCGTGACTATGAAACCAGCCCTACCGACTTAGTACCTAATTGGTAGTATAAGTTGGTTTTACACGTACATTAACTTATTATGTTTGAATTAGAAATAAAACACAGATTAATTTCATGTTTATTGTTCATTTTCTAAATTGGAAATAAGAATATTGTCTAAAAACTGTGCAGGGATGTCGATATTATTTTGATGTCTCGTAAAGCTCAAGTACTAAATAATGGTCACATGGGCGCAGCAACCGATAGTTCTACGTACAACGATGCAATTACAGCAATATTGCACGATTGCTTCTCTGTTCATCTTTAAACAATATTGTACCACCAGCAGAGCCGCTATTTACACAAAATACACTTTCCATTGCGTATGCGTAAGTCCGTTTATGAATGCTAGGTTATCGTTTGAGCGGTACACAGTTCCGAAAATCACAGCAAGCTAAGTAGTTTTTGAAAGCAATCAGAGTCCGTTAAAATAGCCAAGTCGTAATGTTCAATATATAGTCCCGAAAGTCACCACAATACCGATACAATTATGTACAAAGACAATTACAATTGCAAACGACGCCAACCAATGTAACTTTGACAGAATTAGAGATGACGGTACAAAGTAGACATGTCCATTTGAATCGTTTAATCGATTGTTTATAGTAACAGAATCGATTTTCCAGATCTTGTCCTTGTCCGATGTCGATACAGAAACCTCTCGAATCGGACTTATTCAAGAACTAGCTATATTTCAAACGATTCAAGAAATACTTTTGCATAGTTGGAACATCTATCCCTTGTGACAGACAGAAAAACTGTTCTGTTCTGGGTTCTATCCCAGGGTCGGGCAAATTATTATTGGGTTTTTATAACTTGAAGTTCCCAGTAGTAGCACGGAGTCTGGATTTGTGTCCGGTGTTTGGCAATACGCGCATCCCCTATTACATGGGATGTATAATATAACAGTACTTACACACCTCTACCTACTCCTTCTGGAAAATACTGGCGTAATGTTATGTTTATTAATTTAATGATTTTTCTATACATTTACTTGTATTTACGGTAAGTAATCGTCAATAATGTTCTGTGTCTATATTAGGCATGTTTGAAAATGTCGCGATTGATCAAAAATAGATCTGCTAATGCTTGATTTAATCGAGAATCGATTCTAGTATGTTCGATTTGCATCAATTTGGAGATCGTATTTTTTTTCATGAGTGACTGACAAGTGACCATTTAGTGACATCAAAAATAGGAGCGCCAAATACGATACGACTTATGAATATTTTCTAAGATTTATTATAGCCGTACGTTACAAACAGTATACCACCTATATAGTATATATCTATATATCTATATTAGTCATACGATAATATTAATACCATAACACTGTCCTACTTTACTTATAATAACACGTACGTCTCTACTTCTTCCATACTTGTAACAATATTAATAATAATATCTGTATCTAGTCTGCAATATTGCTCTTTTTAAAAAAAAACACATTTATAATTAATGCAGTAACGATAACTGTTTTTTTTTAATTAATCATCGTAAACTCGTAAGTTATCGTTTAGTAAGACGTAAAATATACTCCTGTGTAAACGATCATTAGAATTTCCTTAATAATTATCTTTACGAATATTTTTCTTCAGCATTATTCTAACTACCTATTCAAAATCAAGTATGACATTCAATAGGTATAGTAGGTTTTTAAAATTATACTTGTAGGGAATAATATAAAAGAATATAAAGAAATGGTAATATGTTTGCAACTTTATTCGAAATAAATTAAAATGTAATTCAGATTAAAAAATATACAACAGTTCATTAAAAATTCAATAATCGATTACAATCGATCGGGCATCCCTAATCATTTTTCGACACCACATGATGTTTGGCGAAGATGGCGGCGATTAATGTTATTAGTCGAATATAATACTTTTTAATGTTCATTTTTGCATGCAGCTAGTCCGTGTTATAAAAGTATTTGCAACTAATATAATAAAATAGAAAATTAATTATCGTGTATGTCCGATGCTTTTATTACACAGGGCGGTTTTGGACATTGTCATTTATGTTTCAGAAGTTAACGGCAAAGTCGGGAAGGGACGCCCTAGACGAAGATTTATCGACCAAATCGGCGATACATTGAAAATGGGCCAGATTAGGAGTACCCTTAACCGACGAGCGTGTATACGTAAATATATGGATGTAAAGGAGGCGAGAGAGGTATGTCAGGATCGCGCCAAAGGGAAGTCCGTAGTCTCTGCCTACCCCTCTGGGTGACAGGCGTGAGTGTTTATATTGTATTGTATTGTAGTTTGTTTGCAACGAATACTTTCTGCAACTCTAAATCTAAAGCGCGTATTTTGCGTGTGGGGAGGAAAAAGTTATAGAGCCATGATAGCTTAAAGGCGGCTTAAATTAAAAGGGGAACAATTTAAATCACCTTGGACCAACTTTTTATTTTTTATATATATTTTAGAGAACAAACTTTATTTCAACGTGGACACATAGAGAAGAGTCTCTGCAGCGCGACATGGAGGTAAATGCTCTTAAGTGTCACACTCACAATCAATTTTAGGTTTTGAGAACACATTTCCACAGTCTGCAGGATGGCAAACAGAAATCTCTGATTATCTTGCAACAATCAAATGAGTTTACTAACATCAACGCAATAAATTCCTTATTAAAAACAATTTTATAAAGTAATTTGAGTACAATGCTGTGATTTATGCTCCACATGAAAACAAGAACAAGACAACGTCCGTGTTGAAAATTGTTCAAAATAAGTTTGATTGGTTTGATTATTAGTTACTGTATCCAATTCTATTTTGCCTACGGTACGGAAGGTTGTCAAATAATATACAGAACTCTAGAAACTTACCAATTTTTTTTTATTATATTGCGTAAAAAGGAGGCGGAGTGAGGGGCAACATTTATGCGAGTAGCATAATACGCCACTAAAAAAGAATATTGTAAGAGATCAACATACCCGAGGCGCCTTGTCCGACAAACATCTGCGGAGTTATAAGCGGCCGACACTGCAGCAACAGGCAGTGGACTAAGTTCACGCTCTCCCGGTACTCGCAGAACACTAAAACGAAAATCAATGGCGTTAACATTTCTTCCTTTCTCCCATTTAGCCTTAAGGAGCCCACTGCAGGTAGGCTGCAGGCAGGTTGTGGGTGTCTTGGTAGATTTATATTTGCGGTGGCATACGCCTTAGATGCAGATGCATATATTATGTTCGTTTGAGGTATATAGTTCCAATTTTAAGACAGTAACTTTGACTTTTTGTTGATGAAATTTGTCATAGAACAGCAAAAATTTATCTTTTAACTTAACCTATTGTATATTGAATAATGTTTATAAGTTATTTATTGTCGTAACAATTAAGGAATTAAAAATATATCTGCTCCGGTGCTATTATTCATTGAATTAAAATCTGCAAATGCATTTTCTAGATAGTTTGTAGATAATGTATGGTGAATACAAATCGTTGTGGAGTTAGATATGTGCATAGAGTAAATCCATCAGGTTATATCATAAGCTAATTGGACCAGGCCTATATCCAGGTAAGGTTTTTTTACGTGATAGAGCCATGCTGCAGCTATATTATGGTTGTAGTACGAATAGGTCGACTCGACCGGGAAAGGACCACGCTCTCACAGAATACCAGCGTAAAATAACAGCATAAAGCTGCTGTGTTTCGTATGGTGAGTATAGAGAACCGGAGAGCCTTTTTTACTGGAAATGTGGCATTCCATTTTAGTCCTCACGGGTGACAACGCATCTGCATTTTCGTTCGTAATCGAGGATAGATGAAGATGTCTATGAGCCACAGCAACCACTTACCATCAGGTGGACTGTGCGCGCGTTTGTCACCCTTACTCTATAAAAAAAAATAACTAGAATGGGTTGAAAAGGAATCAAAATAACAAATAATTAAATATAAGGGTGCGTATGTGTGTGCGTTGTTGTGAATGAGTGCGTGCGTGCATATTCAAAAACATTACGGAATAATTGAGATTTCACTTTTCAGTGAAGTTTTTAAAGTAATTTTACATATTTAACACTCGTAAAGAGCATAATAGTAATATGAAGTTATTATTAATACATTACCTATTGCTCTGGTGTCTTGTCCTGCTTGTTTCGCTCTTTGAAAATGATCCAACATTATTTCCTTCAGCTTGTAAAATTTCGGGTGACCGAAGCATAGGTTTTTCGGAATCTAAAGAATAATAATACAATTTAAATAAAAATTAAGTATGCACAAGATGATAGGATGATAATGAAGCGGGTTGAGTTTGGTGGTAACTTCAATATTAGAACGTATTGAACGTGAAAATTACAAAACGTGGCAAGAGTGAATAGGTTTTTACAGTGTGCTTTACGATCTTCGGTTACATCGCCACTTGAATGAAAAAATTTGAATAATTCAAAAAGTTTCTCTATAAACGAGGATAATATCCAAGTGTACAATTTTGTTTATTACCTCGGGTATAGTTCCGTCAGGTAATATGCTTCGATCCAGTGACAACGGATTTATTCCAAGGTCGTCCCGTAACCTTTCTAGCAGAGCTGTGAGGCGGTCGTCGGACTGTATCCATGACTTTTCTGGGTGTTCATCAAAGAAATTAAGAAACACTCTGGAGCCGTGTTTTACCAATAACTCCAAACCATGATATAACGCGATCAGAAGGGTAAAATCTTTCATAATGTAATTGTGCTGTGGGTGGCTGGAATTTAGAAAAAGGAAAACAAATATATTCAATTAAAATTAATGGTAAATCGTTAGAGACACAGACTGTGTTCTAAATATGCCGCAATCTAAATATCCATTATGAAAAGTATTACGGACGTGAAACGTGACATATTATTGTATTCCTTGAAAGACGGAGAAATAGCTAGCTTCAAAAATGGTAAAATAAATATCCAGTATGTCTGTTTGGTACTTTGTCCGCCACAACTTGCCGAGTCTAGAGGTAACTTATGATAGATGCCATTTAGCCAACAATATAAAGTTCTCAATATTCTTACCGAGCACCTCTTTCTTTACACTGATACTCCTTGTATAGCATCACGACACGGCCCTTGGACAAGTTGCCAAGGTTTTGCGGGAGAATATTCAACTGCTTCAACCTTCTCGCATAGACGTCCAATATCTGGGAAAAATTTAAAATAATTTTGCTTTTCTATTCATCTAAACGTTACAACTTTGAGTAACTGTACGAAAAAGAATCGAGGAAGAGATTAATCTAAAAATAACAAAGTGTTGGGAATAAATGAATGATGAAATGGAGAAATGAAAACAAAGGAGAGAAATTAAGTACAATTTATTCGATTGATTTCTTTACTAAGGTACAGTTTTGAGTGTGTGAATTAGCTGACCTAAATAACCGACTTCAAAAAGGAGGAGGTACTCAATTCGACTGTATTTTTTTATGTGTGTGCATAACTTTTTCTAGGTGAATCGATTTTGTTGTTCTTTTTTTATTTGAAGCTGGTGCTTCTCATGTGGTCCCATATAAATTTTATTAAGGTCTGACTAGTAGTTTTTGAGTTATCCTTAATAATTTATATTGAAGTCGGTTGTAGAAAATTATTAATTTTACCATTTGTTACACACTACAATGCAATATTTCAACCAATAAAAATTAATTAAGTGGTATCTCACTCTAACACTCTAAAATCTCATTGTATAATGAACCCTTATTCTTATTCTTATTATGATTAAAATGTTCTTATTTTATTCTTAATTTTGCTAAAGTGTCAACCTATTTTACACTTATTTCTTTATTGAGTCTTACTATCGACAGCTAAGTCAACTTATACTGTCTCTTATATGTCTCTAGCAAATTACAACAACTTATACGTGGTAGAGCCATGCTGCAGCTATATTATAGTTGTAGCACGAATGGGTCGGCTCGAACGGGGAAGGACCACGCTCTCACAGAATACCAGCGTAAAATAGCAGTTTAACGTTGCTGTGTTTCGTTCCCTTTTTACTGGATACGAGGCATTCCATCTTAGTCCTCACGGGTGACAACGCATCTGCATTTTGATTCTTAATCGAAGATAGATGTAGATGTCTATGGGCCACAGCAACCACTTACCATCAGGTGGTCTGTGTGCTCGTTTGTCACCCTTATCCTATAAAAAAAAACAATACACCTTATAATTGTTGGTGCGACCATTATACTTTACAAAAAATTCTAGTCGACATTGAAAAACGAATTGTCATTTATTTCAGGGCAAACTGATATGTAGAATTAAATTCCTATACGTAGAGTCACTCAACGTTAGTTGATTAATATAATCAGCACGATTTATTGTAATTTCTTTGTTGTAGTTGTGATTGCAAACAATAAGGCTAAATTCTAAAGAAAAGGATTCTCAAAGTATTTTGTATGCAAAAGCATATATAAAAGTATTGTAAAGTGACAACCTGAATATGTTCCATTGCTGGGGCATTCGCTCTTCTGAGTGGGTTTTGGAGCAGTGAAGAGTCCGCCGCACTGTCTTCGAATTTTTTAAAATTTTCAGACATGTAGAGAACGTGTTAAATTAGCACTTGAAATCGCAATTTACAGTTTCAATAGTGTTGATAAGGATCGATATCGGTTTAATCGCGTATTGTGAAATAAAGCACGCACTTAGCCCCTCAGCTACCTAGGTTCTTATAATAAAAATAATGACTACCAGAGCGAATATCAGTCACGGCAGCAAGTCTTAACAGAGACTAGCCTTCTGATCAGAACGGGATTATAGTATAGTGGACGATTGTTTGCGCAGGCATAGGTGCACGCTCTACTCCCTCACTCTCATAGTTGGATTGATACGACTATCCGACAAGATTGGAGAGAGATCAGGCACAGGACCAACAGCTACACGTGCTTTCCGATGCACGGGGGTGAAATACCGCTGACGCGACGAGTTAGGGCTGCTACGGAGAATTTCTTGATAAAAAAAAACCCAATAACTAATATTGTCTCGAACGGGTTTCGAAAGGCACCACATGATAATAAGTCGCCTTAAGACCATTATTTAGAATATAAATGACGTTTTTTTTACATGGGGCTATGCCTACGCATACTTGCCTCGTGGGGGCAAGGACGGGTTATGTCGGACTCGCACCGACTGAAACCCTATGGTGTACAACCTTTGCCGCATATCGGCAAAAGAATTATTATAACTATAAAAATAATATAAAAGCCTACCTCAACATATTGTTGTCGTAGTTGTGTTAGCTCCGGCCCCAGCTGTACAACCACTGTGTTGATCTTTCTAGAATGGCTGTATGGTGCTACGTCAATACAGTTTTCAGTACGTAATTCCAAATGAGCTATGTGTAAATTCTTCACTACCTGAAATAACACTTCTTAAACTTACATTACCTAAATATTAAGTTCCATTTCCTTCCACATCGCAACTTAAAATTATAATGCTATAATTAATATTAATTAATAATTAATTCTTTACAGCAAATTTAAGTCAACCATCCAAGACCCATCGACTCATAGACCATCTCTCATAGATTTCATCACATATCTCATAGATATTTGCGATAGTTGCCATGATGGGCAGGCTGGTGGGTAACTGCAGTTTTATTATTATTATTACTGAATTATTATCAGGAATTTTTCCCTTTGTAGCCTATAACAACATTCACGGGATGAAGTGGATTCTCTAACGCCGTAGCTGCACTGCTCAAAATTATTTAAAAGTAATTTATTATAGTCACATTTAAATGCTGCTAGCCGTATGAGGAAGCTCAATGTCGCTCAGCAAGCTATAGAAAGGGCAATGCTCGGCGTTTCTCTGCGTGATAGACTTAAAAACGAGGATATCCGCAGTAGAACCACAACGACAAAGAATTAGTATGCTGAAGTGGCAATGTGCCGGCCATATAGCTCGAAGAACCGACAACCGATGGGGAAGAAAGGTTCTCGAGTGGCAGCCTCGTACCGGCAGGCGAAGTGTAGGGCGCCCCCCACTAGATGGAGTGACGAACTGGAAGGCGATGGATGCAGGTGGCTCAGGACTGTGCTTTGTGGCATCCCTTGGGGGAGGTATATGTTCAGCAGTGGCCTTGTGAAGGGCTGTAATGATGATGATGATGATGACATTTAAATAAATTTAAATTAATTTTAAAAAAACTCTGACTACAAATATTTTATCTCATCCATCATCTTCATCATTATCTACCCATACAAATCCACTGCTTGTCATGGGTATATCTCATTGTACTGTTATTATTGTATTTGACACTGCTCAGGTAAGTAAGAAGAAACTGATAGTTAGAGGATACTTACAGTAATCACATCCTCGACCTTGCTCCCCGGAGTGGCAGACAAAGCTAGCAATCTATAAGTCTTATGTCCCCTTTCTGTTAAAGTAGATACAATCTGACAGTAAGCGTAGTTGCCGCGTGCTCTGTGAGCTTCGTCGATGACAAGACATCGTATCTTCTCGCCGGGACATATGCCAGACTTGATATCATTGTATATCACTTGTGGTGTTGCAAAAAACACTCGTTTAGTTTCCCAGTGCGTTTTTCTAGTGTTCACTTGCATATGACCTATTATATAAAAACGTCAGTATGAAATAGCTAGTACTAATCTTTATATATAAAAATTACGTCTCACATTGTTTGTCCGCTATGGACTCCTAAACTACTGAACTGATTTCAATGAAATTTTGCACACTGTGTGCAGTTTGGTCCAACTTAAGAGATAGGATAGTTTTTATCCTGATAAGTGACACTCAATATTTTTTTTTACGAATTTAAGGATTTTTATAGGCCAAAAGGTCAAATTCAAATTATTTATTTGCTAGTAGATAGGTACAAAAATATTTTGTTCTTGGTATTATAAACAATGTGTTGAGAAAACCTATTTTGCTGTTTTCAACAGCATGCAAACGTCCAAAAGTTTCTATAATATAAATAGTTTCTAAACTTAATGAAAAACACATAACTAAAACATCCTTTTACAAATTTTATAAATAAATTAATTAATTCATGCATCGACAACAGGTACTTCATCACTACAATTTAAAAACTCATTTATTGTGTAAAATGTTTTTTCTACGAGCCATCGTCGTAATGAAATTTTAAACTTGTTGTATGGTAATTGCTTAATATGTGAGGGTATTTTGTTACAAATAGTGTTGCACATTGCATAGCTATTTTTTTGAAAGCGCTTACTTTTTGGAATTGTGTCTAGTAATAGTTTATCTGGGTTCCGTAAGTTTATTTTTGTAACATCTTTAGCTTGTAAAAACATGTGCTTGTTTTGCATTACAAATTTGCCAACCTCAAATATATAGATGCAGGGAAAAGGAAGTATGTTTAAACTCTTAAAATAAGGATTGCATGATGTATCCGATGGGATGTTACTTTTGAGCTAAAAATACTTTTTGACAGTCTGTGCCATTACCCCACATTAAAGTCCGTATTTGATAACAGATTCTACATATGCAAAATACGCTGTGACCGCAGTGTTTTTGTTCGCTCTTTTTGTCAATTTATGTAACGCGTATACAAATCTGTTAATTTTGTTACTCACTTTATGGATATATTCTTTCCAATTTAGATTTGAGTCTATAATTAAACCTATAAATGTCGTACTAATAGCATTCCGCAGAAGTTGTCCATTATATTCAATATTTATGTCAGAATTTAAGTTATTAAAATTAATAATATTTGTTTTACTTAAATTAATGTGTAGATTATTTTTATTGAGCCATTTATTTACTGAATTAATTGTAACTATGTCCCTTTTGTGTTGATCAAGTTTACTTTTTTTACTAGTCGTAATCGTCACCGAGATGTCATCTGCAAATAAAGTAGTTTTGTAGTTGGAGATGTCAGGTAAATCATTTATGTATAATATAAACAGCAATGGTCCGATTGTACTACCTTGGGGAACACCGAAATTGTTATTTTTGAATTCCGATCTATATACCTGAGCTATGTTCTTAAAATTTAACTGTGTTATTTCTACACACTGTGACCTATTTTTTAAATAGCTTTCTAGCCAACTTACAGCAGGTCCCCTTATGCCGTTAGCCTCTAGTTTGGTAAGTAACTGATCATGTGAGACGCGATCGAAGGCTTTAGACATGTCAAGAAATACTACAGCTGTATAGTTTCTTTAAATTTTGCAAGACTTCCTTCACTAATATAAACGCAGCATGTGATTTGGATTTATTTTTTTGGAAACCATGCTGATTTTGTTTTATCACCTTAAATTTACTAAAAAAGGAAGTAAATTAGTAATGCATCACCTTTTCAAATACTTTTGAGAGGACTGTGACTAGTGCAATTGGTCGATAGTTGGTTATATCAATTTTATCTCCCTTTCTGTATAAAGGTTTTACTATTGAAAGTTTTAATTTATCAGGAATAGTCCTGACTCTAGTGAAAGATTTATCAAGAATGCTAATATTTCACTTATTACATTCTCACACGATTTAATTATTTTAGTACATATAGAATCATAGCCTTCAGATTTTGTGTTGTTTAAAGACATTATTATTTTTTTGATAATATTCTCATTTACAGAAGTCAAAAAAATTGATTGAGGTAATTTCATGTCAGTTGTATTTTCTATTTTATAGTTTATCTGATTTGTTGCGTTAATAAAATAATTATTTATAATAGATGCTATTACAGCAGGTTCCGTTACCGCCTTTCCATTATTTGTTATTTTATTTATGTAGTTTGTAGTATATACACGATTAGTCTCATTTTTTATAATTGTCCAAGTAGCTTTACATATATTTTTACTATTTAATACAAATTTATTGTTTGTTGTTCTTTTTGCAATCTTTATACATTTTTTTAATAGTTTATAGTAATTTATATATTTAATTCAATCAACAATTTTTCTAGTCATATAAAACTTGTATCGAAGTTTACTTTTAGTTCTACAACATTTTTTAAGCCTTTGGATATCCATGTTAGTTTAGTAAATGTTTTGGTTTTTACTTTTATTTTAGGAAAACATAGTTTATAGAGTAATGTGAAAAGGCAAAAAAATTCTTCAAATGCTCTATTTAAATCAGTCTGAGTATAAACTTTACAAAATGAAATGCATTTTAAATATTTTTTAAATCTGTCTATATTTTCTTCGGAATAGTGTCGGTCGTCGGAGAGGGCAGAACAACGTCTGCCTGGCCAGCTAGTTATTATATATGATGGTAGGATAATGTCCCGGACTGAACTTCGGTCACGGCAGCCAGTCTATATTAAGACTAGCCATCTGCGCAGGACACGATTATAGTGCTCGAGTGTATACGCAAATACAGAAGAACTCTTTATGCCATCACTCTCATAGTCCAGAGAGTGATCAAGCGCAGGACCAATGGCTTTACATGCTTTCCGAGGCACAGAGGTAAAACACCGCCAACTTCCTGACTCTGGGTTGATACTGATTATTTCTTGATATAAAAAGTAAAAACCCAGTAACTAATTTTGGCCTGACCCAGGATCCAAATCCAGAACTTTATGATTAGCAATTGCGGTTACAACCACTAGATCAACGGGGCAGTGGTGGGTTACCAATTGTGCATATCTGTTCGTTGTCAAATCATTCTCATCTCAACAAACAGTCTGACATAAATTTTAATTTTTTTAAGAATCATATAACTTAGTGTCACTTCAATTGACTTTATATTGGCAAAATATGCTACGAGATTCCATCCATCATAGGGGAGATTTTGCCATAGAAGCCACGCTTGGCATACTGATTGGATACTGCAGTTTTTCCTTATTTTGAGTTGTTATAAAGAAGCCCATCTCCTGTTTTAGTTTCCCACTGTCGCCTCTTACTACACCTAAGGGTAATATGGGTCAAAGAGACATAAATAAAAAGAAGCCTTTTATTTACCTTAAACACAGAATAGATAATAGTACAAGTACCTTAACTTAATTCTTTGTATAGTTTCATCATCATCATCATCATTACAGCCTTTCATAAGTCCACTGCTGAACATAGGCCTCCCCCAAGGAATGCCACAAAGCACGGTCCTGAGCCACCTGCATCCATCAACTTCCTGCATGCCTTGCTTTAATCATTGAGGGGTATTTGCCATAGTTGCCACGCTTGGCGAGCGGGTTGGCAACCGCAGTTTTTTTATTGTAATTTTGGCTATTATCAGGAAGATGCTGCTGCCCATCTCCTGCCTGTTTCCCTTTGTCACCTTTTACGACACCCACGGGAGGATATGGGGTAGTGGATATTCTTGACCGCCACTACACGGCTTAATTTGTATAGTTTAACAAATTATATTTTAGGTTTAGATATATTGCCACCTGTTAATTGCAACAAAATTTTCTTTGCCCTAAGTCAACTTCTTTAAAGCAGCGGTCGGCAACGCGCGGCCCGCGGGCCGCATGCGGCCCGCGGACGTTCTACTTGCGGCCCGTGAATGTTATGTAAATAAATCCTAATAATATCAAAATAGATGCATAAACGAACCACAAACATATAGCGTATAGCTATAGTCAATATTGTATAACGTGCTTCGCTCTGCCCGCGGATGAAATGTGCATATATCAGAGATTAGTTTTTTTTTTACCTTGAAGCCTGACATTTAGCGTATTTAACATAAATGTAAGATTAAAAGTATTATGTTGTAGCAAACATTATAAGTGTAAAATAAATAGGAATCTCGGACTATCTGTCCGTCGCGCGCGAACCCCGCACAACCGTATAGTAGTGTGGAACCCGCTTCGCTTGGCTCGCGAATGAACAATAATTAATGAACGACGCGCGGGAGGGGCGCGGGCGGAACAAACGAACGTTAGCGAGGACAGTTGCTTTCCGCTCTCCGTCAATTACTTACTTTGATGCGTGATTAGTGAAACAATTTCATTTGTTGCGTTCTTGTTTTGATTTCGGTAAGTGTGAGATTACTTTTTATTATACACTTTTGATAGGTACCGATCTACGTAAGCTTGGTCTGGTAATAATGCTTTTATTGTTACAGTTGATAATGGCTTCTAAAGAAAGGAAGTTAGCAGAAGAAAATAGGGTATTTAACGATGCATGGACAGATTTATACTTTTTTATTAATTGCAATGGCAAACCGCTATGCTTAATATGCCAAAAAACCCTTACTATACAAAAAGAATATAATGTCAAACGCCACTATGATAGCGAGCATAAAGCTAAATTTGCATGCGTAGTGGGTGAATCACGAAAAAATAAAATTAACGCACTGAAATCTTCAGTTAAGAATCAACAAAATGTTTTTAAGGTTCAAGTACAAAGTAACGAGTCGAATATACGTGCAAGTTTAAGGGTAGCGGAAATTCTTGCGAAGTCTGGCCGACCATTTACCGACAGCGAACTTATAAAACAATGTGCTTTAGTCATGGCTGAGGAGGTGTGCCCCGACCTAAAAAAAAAATTTGAAAATATAAGTCTTTCTGCAAGAACGTGTACCCGGCGAACTGAAGATTTGGGCGATAATTTATGTCAGCAACTCCGGGAAAAAGCACAACAATTTGAATGGTTCTCTTTAGCTACCGATGAAAGTAATGATGTTACTGATACTGCCCAGCTTTTAATATTTGTTCGCGGAATCGATAAGAACTTTAATGTCTATGAGGAGCTTTTACATTTATGTAGTTTGAAGGGCACGACTACCGGAGAAGATTTGTTTTGTAACTTAGAACAAGCGCTAGTATCAATGCAATTACCATGGGAAAAATTGGTAAGTGTTACAACTGACGGAGGCAGGAACATGAGTGGACAAAATAAGGGTTTGGTAGGTAGAATCAAATCGAAACTGGCAGAGATAGGATGTGCCATCCCATTATTTTTCCATTGCATCATCCACCAAGAAGCGTTATGTTCCAAGGTCGTATCATGGAAAGAAGTAATGGACATCGTGGTATCGACTGTAAACTACATCAGAAAAAATGGATTGACTCATCGTCAATTTCAACAGTTTCTGTCAGATACGGAAGCAAATCATCGAGATGTTGTTTATTATTCTGAAGTGCGATGGTTAAGTAGAGGCGCAGTGCTAAAAAGATTTTTTGATCTCAGAAAAGAAATCAATACTTTTATGAATGAAAAAGGCAAATCTATTCCAGAGCTGACAGACACTCAATGGTTAATAGACCTTGGATTTTTGACAGATGTAACTCATGAATTAAATACGCTAAATGTGAGGCTTCAAGGTAAAAAAAAACTAATTTCTGATATGTACACAGACGTAAAAGCATTTCAAATGAAAATTAAACTCTTTATAAAACATATTGACGAAAAAAAGTTGGATCATTTTCCGAATTGTAAAGAGGCTGTTGAGGAGGCTGGAATTAATTTTCATTGGAAAATTGATAAAATGAAGGATATTTTAATACAACTGCAATCTCAATTCAGCGACAGATTTGGTGATTTTGAAAAAGTTTCAAGTAAACTGAAGGTGTTTGCAAACCCTTTTTTATGTGATATTGAGGAAGTACCGAGTAATTTACAAATGAACATGATTGATCTCCAGTCTAATGATGTTCTTAAAAGCACTTTCTATGAACTCAAAGATCTTGTTAAGTTTTATGGTAGCTTGCCTTCTGATTTTGACGAATTGAAAAAGTTTGCTCAGCAGTTCATTACAATTTTTGGTAGCACTTATTTATGCGAACAAACTTTTTCAATTGTCAATTACAGAAAAAATAAATGTGCATCTCGTCTCACAGATGAGCATTTGAGAGCCATTCTACAAATTGCAACTACAAATATGACAGCTAACATATAAGAAATAGCCTCCCAAATACAACCTCAGACATCACACTGAAAGTATATTAGTAATTTTGTAGTTTTAATTTCTATTTTAATTCCGTTATTTTCTAGCTATAAACGTAATGTAATTACATGTACGAATTAAATTCCGTATGTTTTAACAATTTGAATGGCATTTTCATTTTTTTTATGGGATTTGATGAATAAATAAGTGTGTAAATCACAAGTGCGGCCCGCCTTTAGTTTATTTTGCCACCTAGTGGCCCTTGCCCGCCAAAAGGTTGCCGACCGCTGCTTTAAAGCTAAAAGGACTAAATGGAGTAATGGATTCTTATACCACAAGACTAATTTTATTACAATACCCAAAAACATAATAATTATTAAAAATTTTTTGATGTATATGTGGTATCTACGAAATTATGCTTTACAAAATTGTTAAGATACTGAAAATAAATACCTGTCATTTCAATTGTGTCCTTTGGTGGGATAGCTATAATATTATAGCAAGCCTCTATCTGTTGGGCCACAAGAGGTCTTGTGGGCGCTGTAAACACTATTTTGCCCAGAGGATACCATCGGTAAAAATTGTACATAATAACAGCAGCAATGAATGTTTTTCCAAGACCTGTTGGGAGGCTCACCTGAAAGAACAGTTAATGTTCATTTTGTTGTTGATAATAATACAATATTATGTGATGGCAGACCTAGACTTAAATGTATAATTTAGTGAAGATATTTTGAGAATTAATTTAGTAGAATTTTATTTAAAAAATTATATTATTATATTATATTAAAAAGAAAGCTGCTGTTGAATTGTACCATGATTGTGACATTATGGCATTAATTTATATCTGAATCTTTAAAGGCCAAAGTTTCTATGATTGGAGAAGATTTTTTTTATAGGAGAGGGGGCAAACAAGCGTACCACGGCCCATGAACAACTGCAATACCAGGGGAATTGCAGATGCTTTGTCGGCCTTTTAAAAGAAGTACGCTCTTTTCTTGAAGGTCCCTAAGTCGTATCGGTCCGGAAAAATCTCTGATGGTAGTTGATTCCACCAGGAAGTTTTGCGAGGAAGAAAGCTTCTTTTAAATTGCACATTGGTGGATCGCCAGTCATCCAGATGGTATGGATGATATCGCGAGTTTTGTCGCAATGTGTGTTGGTGAAATTGTGCTGCTGGAATTAGTCTGAACAATTCCTCAGAGGTAATGCGATAAAATAAGCAAAGAGATGCAACATCTCTTTGCAGTGTCATTGAGTCAAGCTGATCGGAAAGAGCTTGGTCACCAATGATTCGAACAGCTGTGTGCTGGATGCGATCAAATGGAAGGAGCTGGCATTGGAGAGCCCCAGCGCAAAGGTGGTAACAATATTCCATGTGCGGCTAAACCTGCGCCTTGTAAAGTCGCATGTGGTGTGCCGGCATGAAATACTGTCCTGCTCTGCTGAGCATGCCAAGCTTTTTACAGGCCAATTTAGCCTTCTCTTCCAAGTGGCCTGCATAGAAATGCTAAAGCTTCTAAACTTCACTCTAGTATTCTGTGAGGTTGTGGTACCACCCTGGTTTGAGCCGGCCCATACGTAAAACAGCAATGGCTGCCGCATGTCTCTACCACTAACCAAAAAGATTTTTAAAAGTCCATCACAAGTTAAACTATAACAAAAGTAAATTTATAAATCATGAAGCTGTGTTTCTTATGGTGAAAGTAGAGAACCTGAGACCTTTTTTACTGGAAAAGAGGCATTTCATCTTAGTCCTCACTTGTCAACACAAGTGCATTTTGATTCTTAATTGAAGATAAATATAGATGTCTATGGGCCACAGCATCCACTTACCATCAGGTGGACTGTGTGCTCATTTGTCACCTATTCTATAAAAAAAATATTAAATAGTTGGTATTACTTCAAAACTAATTATACTTACTAATGTATTTTTCAAAATAGAAGCTTTGATAATATTGAACTGGTAATCTCTGACAGGATAATTTGTTGGATAAATCCATGTTCTACCCATCAACTTATCATATCCACTGATTTCTTCATCACAGCACAAAGCACTATTGGATCAAAACATTTATGATTAATGAATCTTAAGAATCTTACACAAATATTATGTACTATTTGTAAAAAAATAAAACACTAGATCATTTTTTTTAAATAGAATTCTATTTTATTGAAGAACTAGAAAGATAGAAATAGAAAAGAAGGTTTCTTTCTTTCTTTATTAAAGATCTACTGTTACAACATAATTTCATTTTGCTTATTTTTTTCCCTTCTTCAAATGTTCATTAATCTTAAAAGAATTATGGTTTATACTTACCTCACATTTAACGTGTTTCTGTTAATGGATTTATGGTTCTGTCCATTAAAAGTTTCTTCAGTAAATGTACTATCTTTAAAGGCAGAATTTTCGAAATTCGCCAGTAGTGAGGTATTATCAAACACCTCGTCTTCTTCGAAAATTTCATTTTTTGTTTCACTACTTATATTTTCCATGCTCGAAGTTTTATTTTGTGGCAATGAATAAGAAATAGCAATGTTTAACATGGATAAGTAACATATTGCAGTTATATTTTTATTATTTAAAATATGTAACTGAGTTTAAAAATCATTTAAATAATTTAAAAATTATCTTTAACTCGCATGTAACAATAGTAACTATTCATAACAAAATGTAAATAGTAAACTTTGGTTCAAGTTTTATATAATTTCTTTTTCTTCCCAAGGAATAAGTTTATTGTGTACGAATTCTCCCTCTAAAGTCTAAATATTGATATTTGTAACTTTTATGCATTGCTAATAATTTCATTGTCAGTGTCACTGTCACGTGTCACTCAACGTGCCGTTGAGTTATGGATTTAAAGACAAAGTACTTACGCCCATACAGTCTAATGTGTCGTATTTTGTTCATAAAATTCTTTACAATATACCGTGATAACAGCTTAACTAAGCAGACGATAGATGATTATGCTATACTGGCCTCCAAAAAATCGACCCACCTACGTCTTATCGCAAAAATGTGTCCTATAGGTTTTTACCACAATGGATAGATATTTTTTATCTTGATAATGTAATATTGCAATTACAAGGTAGTAAAAAACTAAAAAAACGGCGCGTGAAACGCGATATTTTACATACAAATGTATTAGACATTGAAACCATAACATTTTACAAAAATGACGATATTACTGTGAAGAATCGATATTTACATTTTTTGGCATTTAAAAAAATGTAAACCTTACTCCAATATGGGGTGTTTCCTCCTCTTGCTTTTATCACCGCCTGCATACGCCTATTAAGGGAAAGGATCAGTTTTTTATGTCCAGTTCCCGAGACGTTGGATCAACTGGAAGCCGCCTTCACAGAAGAAAGGGAACAGACACCCCAAGAAGATATAAAAAAGCTGATCAATTCCCTTAATTGGCGTATGCAGGTGGGTATAAAAGCAAGAGGAAGAAACACCCTATATGAGAGTAAGGTTTACATTTTTTAAATGTCAAAAAATGTAAATATCGATCTTCACAGTAAAATCGTCAATTTTGTAAAATGTTATGGTTTCAATGTCTCTTCACATTTATCCCGTTTCACGTTCCGTTTTTTAGTTTTTTACAACCCTATAATTGCATTATAAAAACCCATTTTTTGCGAAAAGCGTAGGTGGGTATTTTTTTGGAGGCAGTGTATCTCAAGGCATTTAAGTGGATTAAATATCTTGAGATTCTTGTGACCATAGAAGCTCGTTTCCACCATTAGTTCACTTACAATATTAAATACATAAAATAACACTACTTTAAGATATTAGGATCCAATAACAATAAAAACATTATTTGGGTGACATCAGAAGCAACAGTTCTCTGGTGATCATGTTGCCGCTAATACTCTCCGTCATCGCAGTACGTCGGGATACTTTTGTACCCACCTTTAAGACTAATGAACTTCTTCTACGTGCCCAGTCAATGCTCAGCAGGCCTATAGTACGCGCAAGAAAACTCCGCGCGACTGATGGCGTACACAATGTTGCCATCTTACCTAATATGTTTTCCTTCATTTAATGTTATTACTAGAATTATATAATTATATGAAATTACATAAATGGCCGATTTGATTACTAAAGCTCAGTTAAAAAAAACGTTAATGTTCAGCTTAAACTTACAAATACCTAATAAATTTGTTTTTAACCCCATATTTATTGCTTAAGATCCGCATAATAAATATATTTCTTAAATGTAACTTTTCTATTTTGACATATATTTATATTATTCTATGGTAAGAATTATCCTACTATCCAACTAATATTATAAACGTGAAAATTTATAATGATGTATGGATGTTTATTACTCTTCCACCCAAAAATTACTAAATGTATTTTAATGAAACTTTACAATAATAATACTCAATACATCAGAACAACACATAGGCTACAATTATAATTAATAACATTGTGTAAATTGGTCAAAATATATGTGTTAAGTAAGTCAGAACAAATCTGTCATCTGCGAGCTATTTTGGCGTGCGATGCAAAAACTCAAGAGTTACACAAATATAATATATGGTGGAATTGTTTATCTTACATAGTTCCACAAAAACGTCCGCGACATTATATATATCTATCTTTTATGTTTAAGCTATTATTACCGAAATAGTGAACCATAAATAAAATTATACTTTATTTCCAATGCAAATTTTGCAGTATCAAATGGATTTTATCAAAATAAATACTTTGATCGCTGATGTTCAAAGTAATGAAGGATGGTGATGGAAATAGGATGGATTTGACAACGGAAATCATTCCTAAAGAGGGTGATCAAATTTACTATGAAAGTGCGATTATTGATGGATCACGTATAGTTTAAGGTATAATATCTACGCAGACGAAGTCGCGGGCAAAAGCTAGCTTTAATATAAATTATAAGATAAAAACTATTTGAAAACTTAATTTATGCGAGAGAGTTTGAGATAAATAATATAATATTTAAAAAAAGCTAAAAGAACACGCTTCATTTTTATTTTTGGTATTTTTCTCAGCAGATTCTTTCATTTGATACACATATCATCGGAATGCATAAAAAATAAATAGTCCTCTATCTTTGGGAGTCCACAATATTGAATTTAGAATGACGTCATTTATCTATCCATGCATTGTCATCCGAACTAAGCGTGTTTGTAAAATTTCAGCTCAATCCAAAACCGAAAAATTTAACTTCTATTTTTTTTACCTAATTACAGGTGAAGTTATTAGCGTGTTAGAAGTGAAATTACTAAGATTAATGACCACTGATATTTTGTCTATAATTAATTTTTCAAAAGGGTATTCTGAAGCAGAACTGAAATAACATTATAATTTTTATTATAAAGAACGAAATTAAAAGTCCATGGACAATATGTAAGTCTTTTATTGAATACCTAGCGCAGTCTCAGAATATATTCTGATCTCCAATATCTCTACGTTCTATTAATACTTTTTGTTTAGACTGGCACTTTTTGTATTTATAATCTTGAAAATACTCCTCACAGATGTTCTGCCATATTTAAAATCAATATCAGCTCCAATCCAATATCAATTCCAAACAAAGTTTATTTATGATAGAAATCTATTTTTACACGATGTAAGACAATTGAATTAAATGCCTTATAGCGCACATGTCAAAATCATTAAAATCACATCATCCCCTGTTCCTAGTTTTCCCGGCGTGACAATTTTAGAAGATAAAGCAGAAGCAGTTGCTACATTACTCTCTTGAGTTATTTGGTAGACGGTGCGTTCAGCAACACCTAAAACAAAATACGAACAATGCTTTATATGCAGTATAAATACATGATATTAATGACACAAGGATAATTAAAAACCAATAACGAACCGAAAAATTGGGGAGTGTTATTGTTATGGCAGACCTAAGAATTACCTGTCAAATATGCAACGCGGGCTCTAACTTTGGAAAACGGTACTGTAGGCCGGTTATTGTCTCGTTCTTCTTCACAAGCACGTTTGACTTTCAAGATAATATCCCTGCCAGTACTTTTAATCAATTTCGGCATAACGATGACTGCTATTTACTGCAAAAAACAATAAAAACACTACGTAACAACAATAAGATGGCGGCACACGATTAGTTCCAATTTCGGCCGCGAGCAAAGTTATCTCGCACGCACTCTACGATCAAAGTAACAGTCCTAATTAAACACAGATCTCTTTTATTTGTGTGACAATCTTTGCTTTGCAGCAGTCATAAATCTATTTTTTATTAAGAATTTTTCATGTAGTCATCATCATTACAGCCCTTCACAAGTCCACTGCTGAACATAGGCCTCCCCCAAGGAATGCCACAAAGCACGGTCCTGAGCCACCTGCATTCATCGACTTCCTGCATATCTTACCAGTTCGTCACTCCATCTAGTGGGGGGACGCCCTACACTTCGTTTCGTTTTAAGGTTTTGAGGTATGTCTGATGAGATGTGTCGTAGCTTCCCGAACGCTGCCCAGCCGAGTTGAATCCGTCGATTGACCTCTCGGTCGAAGTTGGACTTACTTAGTCGGACTATTTGTCCCAGGTAAACATACTCGTCAACAACTTCGAGCTTAGTGCTTCCAACAACTACCGGCATAGGTGTGACATGGACATTAAACATGATCTTTGTTTTGTCCATGTTCATCTTAAGACCTATCCGTTGGGCAACACTATTGAGGTCATTGAGCACAGTGCTTAGGTACTCCAGCGATTCTGCCATAAGGACTAAATCGTCGGCAAATCGAAGGTGAGTGATGTACTCGCCATTGATGTTAATACCGTATCCTTTCCAGTCCAGAAGCTTGAAAACGTCTTCCAATGTAGCGGTGAAGAGTTTCGGGGATATAACGTCACCCTGTCTTACACTTCTCTGCAATTGGATAGGTTTCGTACTCTGGGTCTGTATTCGGATAGCCATCGTAGCTCTACTGTACAAACACTTCAGCACTTCGATATACCGACAGTCGACTTGGCATCGCTGAAGGGACTGCAGCACCGCCCGAATTTCGACGGAATCAAAGGCTTTCTCACAGTCCACATACGCCAGACATAGTGGCAAATTGTACTCCTCGGACTTCTATACAATTTGCCGAAGGGTATGTATATGGTCTATGGTGCTAAAGCCTTTTCGGAAACCGGCTTATTCGGGAGGCTGGAAGTCGTCAAATCTGCGCGCGAGACGATTCGTAATGACTCTCGAAAACAGCATGTAGACGCCGCTCAGAAGGGAAATCGGTCTGTAGTTCTTCAAGAGAGCGTTTTCACATTTCTTGAAGAATAAGATCACCGCACTTCTGCTCCACGCCTCCGGTGTAGTGTCACCATGGAGGACGGTATTAAAGAGAAGGTCTTTAATTCCGGAAGGAATTTAATTCTTGAAGGACTTCAAGTACCGGTTTATCACCCGCTTTCAGAAGCTCCGCTGTAATTCCATCCTCGCCTGGGGCCTTGCCGTTTTTAAGGTGCTGGAGAGCCATTCTAATCTCGCTC